AAGATAATCGTCTGAGGTTTCTTCAAATAGTATGCAGTCGTCATGGAAACATGTAGTTGTCATGGAAATGATATAATAGGCATACGTACCAAGTTTCATCTCTATGCGTCCTACCATTAAGGAGTTTGAGACGTGAAGAAGTAAATTAAAAGAAAAAGTGCCTGAGGCTATTTGTTGTTGTTTATAAATATGTATTGTTGTGTTTTTGATGTTGGGTATTGAATACATTATGTATACAAAGTTTCGTTCACATAGCTCTTACAATAATTAATGTGAATTACACAAACACATCTATGTCCATTATAACGTATTGCCTGGGGCACATTTTTAGTTGTTTACAAGCAAAAAAGTATGACGTTGCACATGTGGTTATCGATACGCACATTCCTACAAAATTTCATGGCTTTATCTCTTTCGGTTTTTTAGTTATGCTGGTTGAAGAAGAAGAAGAAGAAGAAGAAGAAGATGATGATGATGAACAAAACTCCCTATCATAGCCCCATACATCTATGATGCTAGGTACCATGCCAATCCCTGTATACTAAGTACTACCGTACTTAGTTATAAGTACTAGTGATCAACACCCAAGTACGTAGTGCATAGCTGGTTTAAATCGAGCAATCTGATTGGTCCACACGAGGTACTTGATTTCCCGTAGTATACCTGGGACTCTCCGTAGTAAACCTTGTTTTTCATCACATGGTCTATTGGTACATGTAAAATTTTTACATGAAAATGACAAGATCACATACATAATCTCAGAAACATGTAGCTTTATCGTCTACAATAAGTTTCAACAGTATGACAAGAAGTCTGGGCCTAGCTGTACGTAAGCGCCTGTACGCTAGCGCTAGCGGTACGTCACGCCCGCGGATACGTGCGCGTAGAGTGGGCGGCGCCCTTTTCCGCGAAGCGTGGCGGACGGCGAGCGGGTGCTGTATATAGCTTCTGCCTACCGTTTCTGGCTCGCCGCTGGTGGCTGAAACCTCGCTCGAGTCGGTTACCAATCGCGTCTTCACGCTCATTCGAATTTCAGTCGCCTGGAAACGGGCGCTGCGCGTGTGCGGATTTGCACTAAACATGTTAGTTACTCCGTATACTATATACGGGATTTCAATGAACCCGAGGGTAGTTGCCCTCGCTGCGCTCCGGACACTTCAACGCGGCGGAGGCCCTCGGGTTCATTGAAATCCCGTAGTTCCCTCGACCGGAGTAACTAAATATAATCGAGGGAACTACGGGATTTCAATGAACATGAGGGCCTCCGCGTTGTAGTCTCCAGAGCGCACTACGCGGATTTCATTGAAATCCCGTAGTTCCCTAGTATACGGAGTAACTAAAATGTTTAGTGCAGAGCCGCACACGCACAGCGCCCGTTTCCAGGCGACTGAAATGCGAATGAGCGTGAAGACGCGATTGGTAACCGACTCGAACGAGGTTTGCGGAGAGCCATAAACGGTAGGCAGAAGCTATATACAGCACCCCCTCATCATCCGCCGCGCTTCGCGGAAAAGGGCTCCGCCCACTCTACGCGCACGTATCCGCGGGCGTGACGTACCGCTAGCGCTAGCGTACAGGCGCTTACGTACAACTAGGCCCAGACGTCTTGTCTCTCTGTGCATACTGTTGAAACTAAAAAAGAATTATTGTAGATGATAAAGCTACATGTTTCTGTAGATTATGTACGTGATCTTGTCATTTTCATGTAAAAATTTTACATGAAAAACAAGGTTTACTACGGAGCGTCCCAGGTATACTATGGGAAATCAAGTACCTCGTGTGGACCAATCAGATTGCTTGATTTAAACCAACTATGCACTAACTTATATTTAGATACTTTAGGCAAAACATACTCCCCCCATTTCCAAGCACCATCCACTGACTCCCTAGCGAACACCATCACTGCACTCTTACTCACATTAGCCTTTAGCCTCCATTTCCGACAGTAAGCATGCACCACATCTATAAGCGTCTGTAACTGATCCTTAGACTCACTAACACCAACGAAGTCATCTGCAAACAAAAGGGCCTCCAAGCCTCCCACCACTACTTAAATCAATCCCAATCTCAGCTTCCTCCACCTCCCTCAACAACCATTGATAAATACGGAAAACAAAATTGGAGATAAGCTACATCGAGCTACCCCTGTTCCACATCAAATGCCTCTGACTGTTCCCCATCCAACAATACAGCACTCTTTGAATACTCGTACATCTCCTTTATGACCCTCCACATCTTCCCTCTTACCCCAAATTCCCACAACTTAAACCACAGGCCATTACGCCACACACTATCATATGCCTTCTGCACATCTAGAAAGATTGCATATCCAATCCTAAAACCAGCCTGGCCCTCATGCAATGCCTTGCCCTCGTCCAGATGCTTCACCAACCTATTGTTCAAATCCTTACAAAGACCTTCCCAACCACACTCAGCAGAGTGATGCCCCAATAATTCCCAGGATCCTCCTTATCTCCCTTCTTAAACAGGTTAACTATGAGGCCCTCCCTCCACTGTGGTGGCACAAACTCCTCACGCCAAAATATTGTAAACAACTGTAAACAACAACAAACAGCCTCTGTAAATGGTGTTTGTGCCTCTAACCTGCTTATTGTGGGTCCTCTAACAATCAAACTTAGTACACTGATGTACCATGATAAGAGTTCATCGAAACAGAAATTACATGTTTGTAAACAACAACAAACAGCCTCAGGCAATAAATACTTGTGTAAATGGTGTTTGTGCCTCTAACTTGCTTATGGTTGGTCCTCTAACAATGAAACTTGGTACACTGATGAACCATGATGATAGTTCATCGAAACATAAATTACAAGCTTGTAAACAACAACAAACAGCCTCAGGCAATAAAAACCTGTATATGGTGTTTGTGCCTATAAATTACTTGCGGTTGGTCCTCTAACAATGAAAACTTGGTACATTGATTCACCATGACAAAGAGAAACAGAAATTACAAGGTTGTAAACAACAACGAACAGCCTCAGGCAAAAAAGACTTTTTAAATGGTGTAAGTGCCTATAACTTGCTTATGATGGGTCCTCTGACAATGAAACCTGGTGCACTGATGTAATATGAATGACGACAAAACGTCTGAGGCGATAGCTTAAGGCCACTAATGTAATTTTTTTGTGGGCTTATGCCCAAATATATCCCATTTATTGCACACCATGCATGTGAATGCAAAAAAAGGAAAGGAGACAAGTAAATAAAAATTTCTTTGAATCAAAAAAGTGTGGAATATAGAGATACCATTTTGCCATTTTGCCACATTTCTTGCTCATGTAAATTTTACTCCACACAAGCCCTATATTGTCGCAAAGCACGAGTGATCTCTACGGTACGATGTGCAGCTATGACTCATTTCCTATGCACGTAAAACTGGTAGCAAATACCCTCTCTGACAGGTCCTCAGTTTTTGAATCGTGACTATGTTTACTTCAATGTCCGTTCACCTAACCGGTTTCACAATGCTGCTTTCCCTACAGAATTCGTTTGCCAGTCTTCACAGTACACATGTCATGAGTAAGAGTGGTGACAATATAGGGCTTGTGTGGAGTAAAATTTACATGAGCAAGAAATGTCAGTTTGAAGATGTAACCATCATCCATTGTACTACTGCATCACATGCACTAGGTCATCCCTGTCTTGTCTCCTTGCTTTTTATGGCATCCCTATATTCCAAACTGGTTTAATTCTTATTTACTTGTATACTAAGTACTACCATACTTAGTGATCTTCTTACAGCCAAACAAAGAACTGCCACCATTTGCTCATGCACATTTCCACCTCACAAGCCCAATACTGTTGCCACTTTGTTAATATTCTCTGTAGTAATTTACAAAGAAATGAGAGGACCATGAGGCTATGCATCACATACCACAACTAACGAGGTGCCATGCAGTAAGCTACAAATCCAATTTTCAATGAGTCAAAGGTAAAGTTACATTTCAGTATCTAACAGTGTGAGGTATCACTCATACATAAACATGCTCCTTGTGCCATTGTCAAGATGACATTAGCAGCCATAATTTTGCACTGAAGAAGTGAGAAGAGCACACCAGGAGCCATGAACAGTCAGTAATGACTGATCAAGAGCAACCAAGTTGGAAGAAAGAAGGTATTAGCCGAGAAACAAGATTATATGACCCACTGTGGATGATTATGCTATAATAACTATGTGATGAATCCTTGGGTGGTATGAGCTGTTTACTGGGGGCTTCTTAAAAAACAGGAGTCACTTACTTCGGACTTCCAACAGTTTACACTGCAGGTGCAGTCATTGGATATAGGAACTCGAACCCAGACCATTCTCCTTTCAGGGGTATTATATGCTTTACAAAGGGGACCACCCTGTACAGCTTTCATCTATTTAAAGCTGGAAAGGAGCAATGGCACATCCAGTCAATTCCTCAGCTCCAAGACTAGACCTGGTACTCTTTGGAAGACATTGATGTACCTCTTCAGCAGAAATCACTTTCCCGTCTAATTGATGAAGCCGGTTTTAACACCCTAATCGAGGCTGCCCCTGATGTTCGGTCCAGAGCCCTCGCCCTCTCCTCCTCTCTGCCTCATGCGGGGGACTGGCTAAATGTCATTCCATCTCCAGCTCTTGGCCTTTGTCCGTTAGACAAAGAGTTCCGGCTGTGTCTCAATTAATGGTTGGGCCTCAGAATGGCAGATGAAGTCAGCTCCTGATCAGCATGTGGCAAATCCGCCGCAGCCGACCCATTAGGTGATCATCAAGTGAGATGCGGGGGGGAACGGTGACCGAATCAACCGACACGACGCTATCCGGGATGCCCTTTTTTCAGCCGCCCAATCCGCAGCACTGGCCCCTCGAAAAGAGGTCCCTACCCTGATTCCAGGCAGCAGATCCCGTCTGGTCGACATAATTCTCCAGGGGGCCCCCTACTCCTTTGGACGTTACCGTTATCTCCACTATGCAACCGCTCACAATGTCAGGTGCTGCTTACGAGAAGGGGTATGCTCTGAAACTGGCCGAGGAAAGAAAAATGGTAGCTCACAATGCCGAATGCAGAGATGCTGGAGTGTTGTTTGTTCCCCTTGCTGTGGAGACGCTGGGAGGTTGGAGCCATGAAGCAGCCCTACAAACTCCAGAATCGGCAGACTAATGGGTCAGAGGCTTGGTACCAGCCCCGTGGAACCAGTTTCACATTTGTTTCAGCGTTTGTCCATCTGTTTGTGGAGAGGAAATTCAACTATGTAGGCTTGCTGCCTTCCGTCTCACTCAGCTTGGACTGATGGGAACATTTAGATTTTTTGTTTGCTTGTTTTTGTTGTTTTTTGTTTCGTCTTTCCTTTTCTTTTTTTTGTTTTGTTTGGTTTTTGTGTTTGTTTTGCTTTTTGTTTAGTGGTTGTTGTAAACACAATCATTGTATCTGTCTACCAAAAGTTAACCTACCGTTAACCGTCATAGTTTGGAAATCTGTTCACGCATGCGCAAGATAAACATAGGCTAAAATTTTGCAAAGAACGTTTTCCAAGCCTATTGTCGAGCTAAAAACATGGCAAATGCACAGCGAAAGATCTGCCTTACTTGGTTGCATGCTTACCTTGTTTCACAGAAGGCTGTGTAGGTCGGTCTTCCTCAACTTTGCTCACTTTTCTAGCAGCCTAAAGTAGTTCAAGATCTGTCCTCATGCGTATAAGAGCTTCTACGGCACCCAAAAAACTGCATCGATCGTTTTTCAACCGGGTTTTTCCTCCCCCACAAAAATAACGGACTGGAAACGAGGCTAGCGTTTCTAGCTAGTGCACAGAGGGTTTGCACTTTAGTGCTTTCATTTTACAAAATGTTCATTTTCTCCAATCACCAAATTCAAGTACTAACTGACCACTTCTAAGACAAATGTTACCCGCTTACCAGGTCACAATATTTTGTGACCGAAATAATTCTGGCAAAAATTGTTTGGTCATAATAACAGGGGGTGCCTTAAAACAATTTCACACTTGTTAAAGGAAATCAACATATCCGACTGACCTGGAGCACTTGAAACAGCGAACACATCGACTAACTTGTCAACTACAGGAAATTTTCCACTTGAGAGTGCTGCTTCAACAGCTTGCTCTCCTTCGACTACTGAAGGACAGAAGATAGGCATTGCAGTAGCTCCCTCTTGATCTCTTTCAACAAGACCTTCATCGTTTGTACTAGCTGTGTATGTGGTGTTGTGCAGATAAAGATAAACACATCCTTGACAAAAGTGAAAGAAAATATCACAAAAATCAACCTTTACAGGCAGATGCTAGCTAGCTGACTGATAAGCTATCAATATAATGCGTGGCGGGGGAAGATGTTTTGCTCCTCTGCCACAGCCAACCCGTAGTAAAGAGCGCCTAACTGGTATTCAGGTGGTCTGCATACATATAAATTCCTGCGAATGTCCATTACAACAGCCCACCCCAAGCCTCTAGGTTTGGCATGCATTATTCTCAGTCACCCATTGAAAAATGCTATCTGTGGCAGCGGTTACGCACTTACATTTTTCAGTATAATGTGTGTGGACTCCTCACAATCTCACCGATTCAGTGGGTAATTCTTCATGGCCAAACAAATCGTAATTTACCTAAGCGAATTGTTGCTGCATTCTAAAATAAACCATACCTAGTACGTATGTACATAGTTTACAAATGTGGGACGACTTACATTTAAAAATATGGGGCGATAACTGAATGTTCAACAAAGACTAAACCATACACATACAGGTTTCTGAACCAGATGGATTCAAACAATTCAAACCACAATTACCACACTATGTATTCACATTCATGTCGGCTAGTAGGGAAACAGGCGGGCTCCAGAGCTTGGGATGTTGAAGATGAAGCAAGATTCTCATCCTGTGGCGAAGAAGCTTCTGCTTGATCAGAAAAGGGATCAGGACTAGAAGATGCATCCAACATTTCACTAGAGCTAGGAAAATCATCTGCAAAAAATACGAGTACATAATAACTAGATAAGCATAGAGGTATATAAATGTAAACACTGAAGGCACGTGGCAAACCTTACTTAATGCACAGTATACACTTAGTATGTTAAAACCTCAATGCAGGTTATGCACCACATCACATTAAGAAGGCTAGTTCGAAAAAATTATAAAAGAGCCCAGATCTGGATATCATGGCAGTAGCTCTTAGTAACTGAATATCAGTGAAGTGCAAACCCTCGGCACAAAAGGAATCCGCCTTTCCTGCCCTTTTAGTTGTTGATATCACTCATAGGACCCCTCGGAGCCTGTAGTGCTAGAATAACCATTGCAACACAGACAGACAGAGCACACGCTGACGACACTATATACTACTTTAACCCTTGCTGTGCATGTGTGCTGAGGCTTAAGAAGAATACTAGAAACCATTCACAAGATGAATGAAAAGCATTAAAGTGCAAACCCTCGGCGCACTAGAAATGCAAACATGTAAATATACACAAGTGCAGTACTGCTAATTGCCGGGCTATACTCTTGGTCTCTTGACAGCTTGCAATCTGAGAGTCTGTCATGGGGTTGCTACTAGTTCTACTTGCTACTACTTAAACTGGTTCCGCATAACAACTAGTGACATAACAACTAGTCATGCACATGTCTATTTGTGTTTACAGGTAGACTAGGCATGTTGGCTACGAGAGGGTGTCACAAAAGGAAACTATGGGATGAAGGCCTAAGCACACACATCAGAAGAATGACCTGTTGCAGAAGAGGGTGAATGTGGAACCTCAAGCTCATCACTAGAAACATTACGGCTATCTCCATGTTCCATATCCTCATACTCCTCCTCATCACTCTCTTGATCATTGTTCTCTTTCACCTCACCACAACTTGAAATACTTGGGTCATGGATTCCGACAAGCAAACTGTAATCCATAATATTCAAACCCTGAAGAAACTAAAACAAACAATGCAAATGACAAAAAGACTGCTGTTTTTAGCACAATGACTTTTAGAGGGACAATAGGCTAGATGTCATAAAGCCATTGAACATGCATGAAGAGGGCATAATCAACACCTCATGTGTTCAAGGGTTGCAGAGTTACTTAGTATACTGAGAATTGCAAGTACATTGGTCAAAATGAAAAGCACTAAAGTGCAAACCCTCGGCGAACTGGGGATGCGCGGTACCGCTAATTGATGGGCTGGGCTGCTATTAGTATGCATTTACTCGTGGTCTCCCGCTAGTAGCTCGCAGAGAGTCTGACACGGGCTAGCTACAGTAGTAGATAGTATGCGAGAGTCGATACACGCCCTTCGTTGTGACTTCTTGTGCCTTCAAGATACACAGAGCAAGCGGACCCGGTCGAGGATATAAGCGCATGCGCATTTTCCGCCAGCGATAAAAATGGCCGACTACGCATTAGTCGTACAATGATGGAAGCGCTCTAGCTCTGCAACGGAGCATTTTCAGAGAAAACTGCCTTTATTTTCTGACCTTCGTCGCCTGTTGGGTAGATGGTATCGTTTCTGGGACGAACAGACACCCGAGAAGTGAGATTGAGAGTAACAGACAAACAGACAGACAGACAAACCCAACTACTGTAACCCTCGCTGCGCATGCACGCCGAGGGTTAATGACCAACTCAACACACGCACACACACATTCAGAGTAAAAAATCCCCATTGCCAATTGCCATCCCTATAAAACCACCAGCATGCCAAGCTGCCCAGGCAAATTGAGTTACCACTACTCCACAGGTTGAAGAAGATGCCAGCAGGTATGACCCAAGGCAGGTATGTGTATCTTGTCTAATCTTGTCACAACAAGGCAGTAAGGATGTAGGTAAACTCCCTGCAGTGCATGCATACTACCTTCGTTTACTGTCACAACCTAAATAGGACTTAGAGAAAAACTGGACAAACTGAACTATAACACAACAAATTGAAGGCTTAGGAAGTGGTCCCGCCTCAGTGGTAGTGAGGCACAGGTTGGGAGATTAAAGGGACCGACTCTGTGACCTACACGATGATCTGCTGAGGAGCTCCCATGATGACTGGTGCATTAGGTAAATGACAGACAAACTGACGAACAGGGAGGGTCCTCCAGTCGGTCAGTGCGGGATTGGAGTGGGCAGTGAATGGTTATTAAAAAAAACCCACGCATTTGTGTACCGCAGATGAAGCCACTCAATCCCTAGCACCCTCCTTTCTTTTTCTTCAGCAACACAAACACACACACACACACATTCATATTTCAACAATCAGCTGCTACGAGAGTATGCACATCCTGTGCCAAAACCACTACATGTTAATATTCATAATAAAAAAAGCACTACAGTGCAAACCCTCGGCGAACTGCGCATGCGCGGTACCGCAAATTGATGGGCTGGGCTTTCAGTATGCGTTTACTCGTGGTCTCCCGCTAGTAGTCTGACACGGGCTATCTACTAGTTGCGAGAGTCGATACACACCCTTCGTTGTGACTTCCTGTGCCTTCTAGATACACAGAGCAAGCGAACCCGGTCGAGGTAAGCCTGTGGTAAATATAAGCGCATGCGCATTTTCCGCAGCTTAACCTTCATTGCCCGTTAAGTAGGTCGTATTCTTTGTGAGACGAACAAACACCCGAGAAGTGAGATTGAGAGTAACAGACAGACAGACAGACACACACACAGAACGACTACAGTAACCCTCGCTGCGCATGCGCGCCGAGGGTTAACTAGCTAGACTTACCAGCACTAGAAAGCCACTTAGTTAGAAAGAGAAGGTCAAGAGAGCAAAAGGTGAGTGAGGTATCAAAGACAGACACTAGCATAAGTATACATTTTATGCCGCACTCCTTGCTGGGGAGTGGTCCAGCCTATTCCAGAGTTGACCTCGGGTCGGAAGGTTAAAGGGACGGAAAGCCGTTGTCATACAATGACGGAAATATAGGTACTTCCCTGATGACCGGCCAAATAATGTTGCACAATGCATGTTACAACCCATGAACGCATGCATGGTTGCTATGTGGTGGCGCCTCAAGGCTAGGCTTGCATGGACACTGGGTTGGCCCGTAATGTGGACAAAAGCCATCCCAACCCTGTTACTCTTTTACCATCTTTCTCCTTATTTCCCTCCTTATGTTTCTTCACATTCACACAACACACACAAGGATTTGTAAACCCCCAAGGGTTAATCAATTTGCACCCTTTTATCGTACATGGTGAAGAAAATGTGTCAATATAAAACACTGAACAACTATGGGATTGAACTAGATATTTAACCTGAACATCAGCAGAAAGTTGAGAAATAAAGGTGGTTCTGTTTTCGCCAATCACAATCCTCTCCCCTGTGCACAAGAAGTCATTGTCCTTTAGTGTTGGATTTTCCTTTGCCTAACGGAAAAGAATGGCAGGATATATGTGCGTGTTGGCAGTGTATACATATATGCATCAAAATATGCAACAACCATTCTACAAAAAGGATATTGGTTCCTTCCCCATTTTGTTTATTGTTTCCCACTTACACAGTTCTTAACACTCACTCTTAGCTCAGGGAAACATAAACACTCATACAATGACCTAACACGGTCTGGTTGCTTTTTCACATAACCGGTATTGGGATCATGTCATAGATAATTGAGGTCTGAGTACACGGACCAGACCTACAAACAGCATGAACAATGTATATGAGAAGGTGTTACTTGGATGCAGCGAACTCCATCGCTTAATTTTGGACATTAACCAATATAACTCATGAAAATTGGTGTGTTATAGATGAGACGACTGATGGTGCTACTATTTGGGGCTCTTCCTCTGCACAATTGGTGATGCTGAAAGAATTTTGTTTGAAGTCCAGAGACATTGGACACTTAAAACAGTTACATTAACAAAGGAGCACGGCACTACGATAAAGCATTACACTCTTTTGTCATAGAGTGGTTAATACACTAAAAATAAAATAAGCACTGGCCAGTGTCTCTTGCATCACTGCATAGCAATTGAGCTCTGTATGAAAATGCGTACAGTTGCTTAACTCCAAAATTACAAAACAACTGCATACATAATAAATAATGTAGCACTTTGAACCAAAAGTTAAAATACTGGTGCCGGTTTTGTTTAAATGCTGGGTCAACGGAATTCCACCTGTATATCAAACATTTGATCATACACTGTCATTGTACACATAACACACCTTTTCCTTATGGGTAGCAGCACGATCAACTGTGGAACCTTTCAAATCAAATTTGCGATGAATTGTCACGGAGGAGCTTAAGACATTTCTCATTACTATCCAGTAAGTTTCAGTATTGTTCACGGTCAATCGATACATGCCAAGATAATGAGGTAGTAGTGTTTTTCCTTCAGTAGTAACAGCATGCTGTAAGATTATCATAAACAAATAATAATATAACAATGCTGGTCCATGCAAATATCCTTACAGCATGGTAGGGCTGGAGTATTTGGTGCACAAGTGCTACTTCCTCACTGGTAATAGATTTTATCACCAGTTTTCGGTTGTAGCTCACAAACAACTTTGCTCCACTACGACCAGGGTTCTCCATGTAACGTGGTGGTTGTTCAATTAACGACATCTGAACAGAAAACAAAAAAATGTCAAAGTATGCTTAATGTAAATATCTTTCCTCTAAAAGTTAGCAATCCTCCCAGTATTGCACAATCCCATAGCTGCAGTACTGACTGAGGAATGGCGTGCAGAACACGGGCACAATCAATCATAAACATACTCACTACATTAACAAGGCAGTTAGATAAACAGAGAAACATTACAGAGATTCACAGTGTATACCCACAGCACAATTGCTCACCTCGCATCGCATGCACTGAGGGTTAATTAATACGTCACTGTAACAAAACTAAGTGCAAACCATAAAATCTGAATCATCCACAGAGAATCGCTTTCGAAGGTCATGAAACACTCTGGGGCAGTACTCCTTGAACTTGAAATGACCAGGTAGGTTCTCTCTGTTAATAAAATGGCAATAATCACTGCAGTACTAAACTAGGTGCAGTGATTAATATACACACCATAATGAAGATTACATCTTGCGTTGAAAGGAGACAAGTCCCTTCAAAATGTTGAAAGGGATGACGTAGTGCATGTTATGCAGTATTACATTGGATGAGGGCTTTATTCCTAACACAGGTCCTCTTCATCATTGTCTACACATTCTACAGAAATGAGCACTGAAGTGCAAACTCTCGGCGCACAATGTGCACACGTACAAGTATACACATTTGCTGGCTGGGCTGGGCTGGCTGGGCTGGGCTACTCACGGTCACATGCCAGCTCGCTGAAAGTCTGTTTCCTTTCTCAGAGCAAGCAGATCTGGTCGAGGTAAGCCTGTGCTAATTTGCATATTGCCTTTTACGCCATATCTCTCGAATGAAGTTCTTTTACGCAATTTGCCAAATTTCAAATCAAGCCAGCCAGTGTAGTGCTGAACCGTTGCACGTAAGCATTGTAGCAGACAGACAGACAGACAAACAAAAACAAAAAACCAAGTACTGTGCACATGCGTGCCGAGGGTTAGTTAGTGACAATAGAGAGCTTTAAATATACACATGCTCGTTCCGCGCCGCTGCTAGTTTTGATCACACTAGGTTTGTTTAGTGAATTATGTAAAGTGTGTGGACAATGATGAAAGAAAATTGTAGAGGGCCTGGAAGGCAGCCTGAGGGAAAGAAAAGAATGTGGATCTCTTTTACTGCACACAACACAAGGCACAACTAAAAACTGAGGATGCCCAATGTGCTTTGCAAAGGAGACACACTCCTTCTTTGCGACATTGTGTGGAAGACAAACTTACACGATTAGGCAATAACAATGTTAAGCATGAAGCTCTTAGTAGCAAATGAGTCATACTAGCTGCAGATATACTAATGTTTTGCAAATATATAGATCTTTTGTGGCCATGTCATACATTGCTCCCTTAATTCCCGGTACACTTCTCTATTCATTGCATGTGGGCAGTGTGAAACTCACTCGATAACACGCAGTATTCTCTGTTGTTGAGCATTGCCGGGGTACCAACCTGTCTAAAGACTCTGTACTGATCGCGCCTGCTTAGGAGTCAGAGTACTCTCTCACATTGGATAAGAGCTCATTTCCGCTGCGTACAATCGATCCTATTGGTAGAGCTGATTTTTGTTCTATTCTTTCCCTTCTCCCTTTCTTCCTAATCTGCTGTCTACGCACTCTTCACGTTCCTTTCAGTCTACAAGGCGTGAGATCGGGAGCATGATGCACGGAATAATTAGTCTGTAGTAACTCGGTGAAGAAATCTGTCCGTGCCCGCGCTTATGCGCTTACATTATTTATGCTCTACATAGGCACTAATTAATAAATCCACTTACTTGTTAAAGTACTGGTTTTCCACCCGTATCTTGCTATAAGCTTTAAAATCTTCTGGCAAGAGCAGGCTTGTTTCTGCTGATGCAAGTACTTCGTTCACCTACACAATCAAACACATTATTGACCTGTGGAACATATTTAATTAGTACATATACCTAGTTATCACTAAGTACGGTAGTACTTAGTATATAGGGATGGGCATGGTACCTAGCATCATAGATGTATGGGGCTATGATAGGGAGTTTTGTTCATCACCTTCTTCATCTTCTTCTTCTTCTTGTTCAACCAGCATAACTCAAAAACCGAAACAGATAAAGCCATGAAATTTTGTAGGAATGTACATATCCATTACCACATGTGCAACGTCATACTTTTTAAATTTGTAAACAATGTTGTTTACTGTAAACAACAAACAAAATTGCCCCAGGCAATACATGTGTCAGTGTAACTCACAATCGGTACGAGCTATGTGAACGAAAGTTTGTGTAGATAATGTATTCAAAAGCCAACATCAAAATCACAACAATACATGTTTGTAAATAACAACAAATAGCCTCAAGCACTTTTCTTTAAATTTACTTCTTCACTTTTCAAACTTTCCAATGGTAGCACGCATAGAGATGAAATTTGGTATGCATGCCTATTATATCATTTCCATGACGATCACACGTTTCCATGATGACCGCATATTCTTTGAAAAAGCCTCAGGCAATTTTCTTTAAAACTACTTCTTCAGTCCTCACACTTGTTTACTGTAGCACGCATGGAGGTGAAACTTGGTACACATGTAGAAAAAACCATGTGATGCCAATACATGGTTACGATGACGACCACAGACCACAACAACAAATACCCTCAGGCACATTTCTTTATCCACTCCTCAAACTCGCTAACTGTAGAAAGAATGGAGGTGAAACTTGGTGCTCATGTGTATTACATCGTTTCAATGACGACCACAATAACAAATAGCCTCAGGCACTTTTCTTTAAAATTACTTCTTCACTCCTCCAACTTGCTAACTGTAGCACGTGTGGAGGTGAAACTTGGTGTGCATGTGTTTACATCGTTTCCATGACGACCACAACAACAAATAGCCTCAGACACTTTTATTTAAAATTACTTCTTCACTCCTCAAACTTGCTAACTGTAGCAGGCATGAGGTGAAACGTGATGTGCCTGTATAGTACATTGTTTCCATGACAACCACAACAACAAGTAGCCAATGGCAATTTTGCTAAAAATTACTTCTTCACTTCTCAAACTCACTAAAGGTAGCATGCATGGAGATGAAACTTGGTACACTAGCGTATTACATCATGACAACTACATGTTTCTGTGACGACTACATATTGTTCAAATAGCTTCAGGCACTTCTCCTCAAACTTGCTAACGGTAGCACGCATGGAGATGAAACTTGGTATGCATGCATGTTACATCATTTCCAAGTCACCTTCATGTTTGCATGACGACCACATTATCGTTTGAACAACATCAAAAAGCTTTTTGTGTTGTTTGTCTGTCTATCTGCATTCGACTGCCCCACACAGATTAACATGCATCTACATGAGGTTGCAGGTTTGTTGACACAATAAAAATGCAAACCCTTGGCACAAAGAACACATTAGGGTTAATGTTATAATACGCATGCGCATAAAGCACTGCTAATTGATGGGCCAGGCCACGCCATGCTGCCTTTTATTTTCATGCTCCTGTCGTTCTGAAACCAATGGTATTGCTCATAGGCCCCCTCATAGCCTGTAGTGCCAGAATAGGATGCAGACAGATGCATGGGCACCGTGGGTTTAAAAGTTGCACACTCGCAACAGAGACTATTTGTTTACCGACTCCTTTGACGTCACACACTCAATATAGGGATAGGAATAGAGATGATCAGGATGTGCAGTTTTTGTGTGGGGGTGCGGTAGTATCGACAGAAGGCTTAACGCGAAGAGGCTTCCAAATGCATCCTATGAACTATTGAAAAGGCTTAGGCCATTCTACAATTAAGTAAGCAGAGCGAGCTAGCTGCCGTACCTGGAGAGCTACATGTTCCCCACAAACAAAACTTGATGGAGACACCTGAAGAGATTTCATTGGGTGACCAAGAGGCTCTACAATTTGATGCGAAGTACTGAGAGACTGGCTCTACCGCTATAAGACACACAAAAAAACTTGAGTGTGGGAACTTCTCCACACAGTAAAATATAGGGACAGATGGTTTTCAATATTCCCTACTTTTATTAAAAGAAATGTGTAATCTCGATGTATGCGCATTACAACAACCTAAAAATATGCTCCGGACGACTAGCTAGGCATCACCCTTTGAACCCAATAAAAAGCAGCACAGCCAAGACAGGTTCTTTTAACGCCACAGTCAGGTGGTCCCTTTGAACTAACGTTCAAACTACTTGAAAAGGTTTCAATAAAAGCTGCGTCAGAGTAAGGAAATGATCAAAGCTGTTTACACTGTGGGGCTGGACACAGGGAAAGTCATGTATTGTGGATAATGGCCAAACAGACACTGGGGCCCATGCCAGCGCTTCTTTGTCTCTACATCAACAATTGTGTAAAAGAGATGAATGTATTGTATAGTGTATGTGTTGTGCACTTGTGTGTTAGTTGAACCATTTCATGGGGAAAACACTATTATTATTAACCCTCGCCGCGCATGCGCAGTGAGGGTTACGGTGCTTGGTCTGTCTGTCTGTCTGTCTGTCTGTCCGCGCGAGTTCTCGCACTACAGGCTACGAGGTGGCCAATGAGTGGCACCAACGGGTTGTGAACAGCTAGAAGATGGATATTAACGTGGCGATTTTCCTGAAACGGCTGCGTTCCAGAGATATGGCGTGAAAACAACGAAAAAGCCAACGTGCGATCGATCTCGCACGCGCCCTCTCAGGCAGGCTATATAGTGCCATGTCAATTATTCGCCGGAGCATGCGCTACGCCACGTTGGTTGTACAATCCACGGGCTTCTAACAGTTTTGATCTCTGTTTTCTTTGTTTTCAGTGGATAAACATGCTGAGCAAGGTATGTTCGCAATGTAGCATAATAGTTCAGGCGGAGGAGTTTGTCGCTGCGGCCTTGCCTTCCCATCCTTAAAACGTCTGGCGAGAGCATTGAAACACAGAAGAGCGAATAGATTGAATAAAGCAAATATGAGAGCCTCTGAAACACCTGAGCACGCTAATGCAACTACCCTGTGTTACGGCGAGACTTGTGTCTCCGTCGATGACACACGGCTCAGCATACAACGATGCTACAACTCGCGCGTTTAGCGCCGAGGGTTTGCACTTTAGTGCTTTTCATTCCACCAGAAACTCAGCGGGCCCCTAAGACTACAGACACTCAGAAAAACCAAAGCATGTAGCTGGAGGTTACCAATCTGGCGCATGCAGAGTCATTTGTGACACCATTAATGATGTGGATTTACTTCTGCTACGAATGACTTACAGTGTGCTGCACACCCCACATAAATACAGCAAGAACAGGGTCCTTTGCTCTCATCACACGTTTCCTTTGGTGCTTGGCTTTAATACGCCTCAATTTTGGTTTGTGGCTTGATCCATCCCTTTGGCCACGCCCAGGCATCTTTGCTATAACAAAGAGAGCACGCAGTATATGAATGAATATAATGAATGTAGCACACCAAAAATAGAGATGTATATAAAAAGGAAGAGCGACATGATCAGGATGTGCAGTACCGCTAATTGAAGCGCTGGGCTATGCTTTGTCTATCTACTAGAGGTTTAGCTCACGGAGAGTCCGACATGGGCTAGCAGATAGCATGCGCAACAAGACAGCCAAAAGGAAATATGTCTTGGCTAAATGGATGGGTTGCATGGCCGGGGCAGTGGCGTGCAGAGCATAGCCGATACAAGAACGCCTACCTCAGCTTTCTTCACTCTAAACTTTCAATCGGGGCTTATAGAAGCCTTGAACTTGAGGTGGTCAATAGGCCGAAGCAAAAAGCAAACCCACTCCATCGCTGGTGGACTCAAGGAGCATTATTGGTTGTATATAAATCACCCCAGACCCTACCCACCTTTCTACCGCACATGCGCACTGCAGGCCTGGTGCATGCCGCATGCGCCAGTTGATGTTTGTTAGCCTCGATTCCTTCCCCCTTCCTCGTATGATGTGCAGCTATGACTCAGCCAATGAGACAGGTAATGGGGGTAATGCACAGGTGTTGCCCTCTCTGACAGCTGAGTTGTGACTGCATTTAGTGCCTTCCATGTTCGCTCAACTATACAACTATATGTGCAGTCCATATTTTAAAACCAGTTTTACAATGCTGCATTCCTGGTCTTCTACAGAATCCCTTCACCTATTCTTTACATCATTCATTAAACAAACTGATGTAAAACAACGACAATATAGGGCTTGTGTGGAGTTCCTGGGTTTCTCAAGAGTTGAAACTTTGTACACAGATTGGAATCCATGACAGGTCGTGCAAGAGCATTTCCAGTTTGTAAACAATGTTGTTTACATGTAAACAACAAGTAAATTAAAAATCCTGCGAATTTAAAAAAAGAGGCATATAGGGATGGTATAAAAAGAAAGGGAGACAAGATAGGGATTGGATACATGAAGCATGGTTAATGAACAGATTTGAGTACGCTGATACCCCCAACCCCATCACACAATCCCTATTGTTGCCTGGTGTGCTACTCTTATAGGGGCTAAAGGTTACTAAAAAGCAAGCATTCTTTCACCGTGTCCCTGTCGTTTTTAGTAACATTAATACGGCCCAATTGCCATTTAAACTCCATTTCGACTCTATAAGGGTGTTGGTTACTCAGTAGTGTATTGTAAGTTCTGAGTATTGTATTGGTGAATGTTTAATACTTCACCTAGGCAACAATATAGGGATTGTGTGATGGGGTTGGGGGTACGTGTCAGCGTAATCAAATCTGTTCATTACCCATGTTTCATGTATCCCATCCCTATCTTGTCTCCCTTTCTTTTTATACCGATCCCTATATGCCTCTTTTTTTAAATTCGCAGGATTTTTAATTTACTTGTCTCCACTCATTTTTATATACTACTACGTATTATGTCAGTGGAATGGGGCAAGCCCCTACAAAAAGTAAAATGCTAGAGAAAAAATGCCTGTTGTCATCATGGAAACATACCATGTTTCATCTCCATGTGTGCTGCTGTTAGCAAGTTTGAGGAGTGAAGAAGAAATTTTAAAGAAAAGTGCCTGAGGCTATTTGTTGTTGTGGTCGTCATGGAAACGATGTTACACACATGCGTACCAAGTTTCATCTCCATGTGTGATACCGTTAGTGAGTTTGAGGAGTGAAGAAGTCATTTTAAAGAAAAATGCCTGAGGCTATTTGTTGTTGTGGTCGTCATGGAAACGATGTAATACACATGCGCTCCAATTTTCACCTCCATGCGTGCTACAGTTAGCAAGTTTGAGGAGTGAAGGAGTAATTTTAGAGAAAAGTGCCTGAGGCTATTTGTTGTTGTGGTCGTCATGGAAACAATGTTACATACATGCGCTCCAAGTTTCACCTCCATGCGTGCTATAATTAGCGTGTTTGAGGAGTGAAGAAGTAATTTTAACGAAAAGTGCCTGAGGCTATTTGTTGTTGTTTACAAACATGTATTGTTGTGATTTTGATGTTGGTAATTGAATACAGTATGTCTAAAAGTTTTGTTCACAGCTCTCTACCATTTGTTAGTTATACTGACATGTGATCCCTTTATAATGTATTTCCTGGGACTATTTGTTGTTTACAGTCAACAATGTTGTTTACAAAGAAATAAGTATGACCAGTCTCTTCGGGTGACGGATATCTACATTCTTACAAAATTTCATCACTATATGTTGTTTCATTTTTGAGTTATGGGTGTTGAATCTGAAGAAGGAGAAGAAGAAGAAGATGAACAAAACTCCCTATCATAGCCCCATACATCTATGATGCTAGGTATCCCTATAATCACTAAGTACGGTAGTACTTAGTATATAGGGATTGACATGGTACCTAGCATCATAGATGTATGGGGCTATGATAGGGAGTTTTGTTCATCATCTTCTTCTTCTTCTTCTTCTTCTTCGACCAGCGTAACTCAAAAACCGAAAGAGATAAAGCCATGAAATTTTGTAGGAATGTACATATCGATAACCACATGGGACTCATCATACTTTTTGTTTGTAAACAATGTTGTTTACTGTAAACAACAACAACATTGCCCCAGGCAATACATTATAATGGGCAATACGTTATAATGGGCATACTACATGTGTCAGTGTAACTCACAATTGGTAAGAGTTATGCGAGCGAAAGTTTGTATACACAATGTATTCAATAGCCAACATCAAAATCCCAACAATACATGTTTGTAAATAACAACAAATAGCCTCAGGCACTTTTCTTTAAATTAACTTCTTCACTTCTCAAACTTTCCAATGGTAGCACGCATAGAGATGAAACTTGGTACGTATGCCTATTATATCATTTCCATGACGATTACATGTTTCCATGACGACCGCATATTGTTCGAAAAGGCCTCAGGCAATTTTCTTTAAATTACTTCTTCACTCCTCAAACTTGCTAATTGTAGCACGCATGGAGGTGAAACTTGGTGCGCATGTGTATTACATCGTTTCCATGACAACTACAACAACAAATAGCCTCAGGCACTTTTCTTTAAAATTACTTCTTCACTCCTCAAACTCGCTAACAGTATCACGCATGGAGATGAAACTTGGTGCGCATGTGTATTACATCGTTTCCTTGACGACCACAACAACAAATAGCCTCAGGCACTTTTCTTTAAAATTACTTCTTCACTCCTCAAACTCGCTAACAGTATCCAATGTATATCCAATGTTATGGTCAGCTGATTACACTTCCGCCTAAATGCGCACTCCATGGAAATGTAGCATGACAAATCTATCAAAGGTAATTAGTAAGTACTTCATTACCTATAGCAATATTCTACAGACTCTCTAATCACTCCCACTCCCACCCTACGAAGAAGATTGAAAACTTTCCCTATCATAGCCCCATACATCTATGATGCTAGGTATTCCCACCGTACGACGATATAGGGCTGTTGTAATGACCTGTGGGAGTCCTAACTCCTCGCTAGCATCTCTGTGCTTCCACAAACACAATCCCTATCTTGTCTCCCTTTCTTTTTATACGATCCCTATATGCACTCTTTTTTTAATCCGCAGGATTTTTTATTTACTTGTATACTAAGTACTACCGTACTTAGTGATAAATAAAAAAAAATAGCCCCGGGCCATACATTACGATATAGACTAATAAAGTGTGATAACTAGTTAATGCTAATACCCAGAGTGATAAAACTTTGTAAACATATGCAACCCATCATTAGTATCAAAATTACATGTTTGTAAACAACAACAAACAGCCTCAGGCAATAAAAACGTATAAATAGTGTTTTCCTATCTAACTTACTCTTCCTATAACTTGCTTATTCTAATGAAAAGCACTGAAGTCCAAACCCTTGGCGCATTGTGACACGCACGCGTAAGTAAACGCATGCGCCGTACCACTAATGTGGGCTGGGTTTAGTTTTAGCTGTTACTCATGGTCTCTTGCCAGCTCGCGCAGAGTCTGACGCGGGCTAACTACACTACTAGATAGCATGCGAGAGGCGATACACGCCCTGCGTTGCATCTTCTGGTGCCTCCAAGGTACGCAGAGCACGCGGATCGATCGGACAGTAGTAAGCCATCCCGTCCGTTGCGTATTTGCATATTGGCTTTTTCCCGCTGTAGCTTTGCAACGGAGCAGTTTCAGAGAAAACCGTTCGAAAATTCTGACCTTCATTGCCCGTTAAGTAGGTCGTATCCTTCGTGAGACGAACAGACACTCGAGAAGTGAGATTGAGAGTAACACACACACACACACACACACAAACCCAACTACTGTAACCCTCGCTGCGCATGCGCGCCGAGGGTTAACAATGCAACATGTACTTTGGTGGTGAAAGAAACATGTGAACAAAAAGACAAACAGTCTGAGGCAATAAACATACAGGCACCTTCTTGCAGTTCTGTGTGGTATAATATAGCTCGGGCTGGCTAGCGATGCTACTTTTTATATGGGCATTATGCCCTAATGCGTGTGAATGCCGTTAAAAAATAAGGAGACGAGTAAATAAAACATTCTTCGAATAAAAAAATGGTGAATGTAGGGATGGTATTCCCCTAATTCCATTGCCTGAACAACAACAACGAGAAGAATTTTGAAAGAGAATTTCTTGAATAAATCAATTACCGATTTTGCAATTTAAGCCATTTCTTACGTACATGTTTTTGACCGTACAGATCAGACGGATATGTCAGAGGTGGGATCTGATTGAAACTGAAAGTTAAACGTACAAATAATGCAGGACAACCGATGTCATCCCTATATACTAAGTACTACCATGCAGGACAACCTGTGTCATCCCTATATACTAAGTACTACCATGCAGGAGAACCTGTGTCATCCCTATATATGCAGTAGTACTTACTATAATAGGGATGACACAGGTTGTCCTGCATTACATTAGAGATTTTCATGTTTCACTTTCTATTTCAATCAGATCCAACTTTTGACACATCAGACCTAATTTGTATTGTCACAAAGAGCAATAAATAGCTTAAATCGCATAATCGGTACTTGATTTATTTTAAAAATTCACTTTTTGTTAACCCTCGGCGCGCATGCGCAGCGAGGGTTACGGTAGTTGGTTTGTCTGTCTGTGTGTGTGTGTGTCGACGCTTATTCTGGCACTACAGGCTACGAGACGGCCCATTAATGATACCAGCGGCTTCAGAACTACGCGAATGCGATTTTCTTGAAACGACTGTGTTCAAGAGCGACAAACTGGCACGGTCGCAGACCGCGTTGCGTGGCCCAACCCATCAATAAGCGGTGCGCATGCGTATATTTGACGCAGTATGTTGGCTCACCTCGACCTGATCCGCTTGCTCTGTGTACCTTGGAGGCACAAAAAGCCACAGCGAAGGGCGTGTATCGACTCCCGCGTGCTATCTACAGACTCTCCGCGAGGAGACTGCCAATAGCCCAGCTCACCATTATCGTTACCGCGCATGCGTCGTTCGCCGAGGGTTTGCACTTGCACACGTACTTTAGTGCTTTCATCATTAACCCTCGGCGCGCATGCGCAGCGAGGGTTACGTTTGTGTGTGTCTGTCTGTGTGTCTGTTACTCTCAATCTCACTTCTCGGGTGTTTGTTCGTCTAACAAAGGATACGACCTACTTAACGGGCAATGAAGGTCAGAAATTTCGAACGGTTTTCTCTGAAGCTGCTCCGTTGCAAAGCTAGAGCGCGAAAAAGGCCAATATGCAAATACACAACGGGCTTGCCACAGTCGGATCGATCCGCGTACTCTGCGTACTTCGGAGGCACCAGAAGATGCAACGCAGGGCGTGTATCGCCTCTCGCATGCTATCTAGTAGTGTAGTTAGCCCGCGTCAGACTTTGCGCGAGCTGGCAAGAGACCACGGGTAACAGCTAAAACTAAACCCAACCCATCAATTAGTGGTACGGCGCATGCGTTTACTTACGCGTACGCGTCACAGTGAGCCGAGGTTAGTGCTTTTCATTGTTGTTGTTGTTGTTCAGTTAAGACACGCGTATCTCAAAGAAAACAAAAACAATTCTGTTTACATGTAAACAACAACAAATAGCCCCATGCAATACATTATGATAGAGACAAATAAAGTGTGCTAACTGGGTAAAGCTAATACCCAAAGTAATAAAACTTTGTACACACATGCAACCCATCATGAGTATCAAAATGTAAACATCACAAGTTGGTAAACAACAACAAACAGCCTCAGGCAATAAAAACTTGTACATTTTATTGTTTCGTATAACTTGCTTATGGTGGGACCTCTAACAATGAAAATGGATACACTGATGTTCGATGATAAGAGTTCATCGAAACAGAAATTACAAGTTTGTAAACAACAACAAACAGCCTCAGGCAATCAATACTTGAAAATGATGTTTGTGCCTATAACTTGCATAATGTGGGTCCTCTAACAACGAAACTTGGTACACTGATTTACTATGATGAGAGTTCATCAAAAGTTTGTAAACAACAACAAACATCCTTAGGCAATTAAGTGCGCTTTTCCCTATAACTTTGTACACTTATCTACTTTGGAAGTGAAATAAAATGTAGATGATGACCGAGGCAATAAATACATGAAAAAACATGTTTATAGCATACTAGCTAAAAAATAATATCAGAGGAAAAGAAAGAACTTCCCCCCCCCAAGCACACAGAACACAGACAATAACATACCCAAGCATACAAAAACACAGACAATGAAAAGCACTGAAGTGCAAACCCTCGGCGTTCTGTGACGCGTATATACGCGTAAGTAAACGCATGCGCCGTACTACTAATTGCTGGGCTGGGTTTAGTTTTAGCTGTTACCCGTGGTCTCTTGCCAGCTCGCGCAGAGTCTGACGCGGGCTAACTACACTACTAGATAGCATGCGAGAGGCGATACACGCCCTGCGTTGCATCTTCTGGTGCCTCCGAGGTACGCAGAACACGCGGATCGATCATGCCGTAGTAAGCCGTTGTGTATTTGCATATTGGCTTTTTCGCGCTCTAGCTTTGCAACGGAGCGACATATTTTCTGACCTTCATTGCCCGTTCAGTAGGTGGTATCCTTTGTGAGACGAACGAACACTCGAGAAGTGAGATGACGAGTAACAGACAGACACAATGAAAACCACTAAAGTGCAAACCCTCGGCGAAGTAGCTCGCAGAGAGTCTGACACGGGCCAGCTACAGTAGTAGATAGCACGCGAGAGTCGATACACGCCATTCGTTGTGACTTCTTGTGCCTTCAAGATAGAAGGAGCAAGCGGACCGGGTCCTTTGCTAAATATAAGCGCATGCGCATTATCCGCCAGCGATAAAATGGCGACTACCGCCATTAGCCATACAATGCTGGAAGCGCTCTAGCTCTGCAACGGAGCATTTTCAGACAAAACCCCACATATTTTCTGACCTTCGTCGCCCGTTGGGAAGATGGTATCGTTTCTGTAACGAACAGACATTCGAGAGGTGAGATGTAGAGTAACAGACGCACACACAGACAAACCCAACTACAATAACCCTCGCTGCGCATGCGCGCCGAGGGTTAATGAAAAGCACTAAAGTGCAAACCCTCGGCGAACTGGGCATGCGCGGTACGGCTAATTGATGGCTGGGTTGCTATTAGTATGTAGTATACTCGTGGTCTCCCGCTAGTAGCGTCTGACACGGGCTAGCTACAGTAGTAGATAGCATGTGGGAGTCGATACACGCCCTTCGTTGTGACTTCTCGTGCCTTCAAGATACACAGAGCAAGCGGACCCGAGCCTGTTCAAAATATAAGCGCATGCGCATTTTCCGCTGCGATAAAAATGGCCGACTAGCATTAGCCGTACAATGGCGGAAGCGCTCTAGCTCTGCAACGGAGCATTTTCAGAGAAAACTTTTGACCTTCATTGCCCGTTAGGTATGTCGTATCCTTTGTGAGACGAACAGACACACGAGAAGTGAGATTGAGAGTAACAGACAGACACACGGACAAACCCAATGAAAAGCACTGAAGTGCAAACCCTCGGCGTATTATGACGCGCACGCGTAAGTAAACGCATGCGCCGTACCACTAATTGATGGGCTGGGTTTAGTTTTAGCTGTTACTCGTGGTCTCTTGCCAGCTCGTGCAGAGTCTGACGCGGGCTAACTACACTACTAGATAGCATGCGAGAGGCGATACACGCCCTGCGCTGCATCTTCTGGTGCCTCCGAGGTACGCAGAGCACGCGGATCGATCATGCCGCAGTAAGCCGTTGTGTATTTGCATATTGGCTTTTTTTCGCTCTAGCTTTGCAACGGAGCAGTTTCAGAGAAAACCGTTCGAAATTTCTGACCTTCATTGCCCGTTAAGTAGGTCGTATCCTTTGTGAGACGAACAAACACCCGAGAAGTGAGATTGAGAGTAACAGACAGACACACACACAGACAGACCCAAGTACCGAGGGTTAATAACATATAAACAGAAAGAAAGAGGCAGGACCCTGGGTGCCAAGTCTTGAGAACTGGGGCGGTAGGTTAAAGAGTCTTTTATGGGCCCAACTCTCCCTACATGTTACATTATATATGGACATTATGCCCCAATGCATGTGTATGCGGTAAAAAAGGAAAGGAGGCAAGTAAAAAAAAAATTATGCGAATTAAAAAAGTGTGGAATATAGGGATGCTATAAAAAGCAAGGAGACAAGACAGGGATGACCTGGGCATGTGATGCAATGGGATGATTGTTACATCTTCAAACTGACATTTCCTGCTCATGTAAATTTTACTCCACACACGCCCAATATTGTCGCCACTCTTACTCATGACATGAATAGAAGACTGGTAAACGAATTCTGTAGGGAAAGCAGCATTGTACCGATAGTTGAGCGAACATTGAAGTAAATACAGTAACGATTCAAAACTGAGGACCTGTCAGAGAGGGCGTTTGCTACCAGTCTTATGTGCATACGAAACGAGTCATAGCTGCACTCGTGCTTTGCGCAATATAGGACTTGTGTGGAGTAAACCTTTCATGAGCAAGAACAATCATCCCATTGTACTACTGCATCACATGCCCAGGTCATTCCTGTCTTGTCTCCTTGCTTTTTATGGCATCCCTATATTCCACACTTTTTTATTTGCAGAATTTTTTATTTACTTGTATACTAAATAAGTACTACTGTACTTAGTGATGTGCAGCTATCACACTTGCTCCTAAGAATGCCCCCTCTGACACTGGTAATCAGTTTCTTATATCGCGACTGTATGCATTCTTGACCTTCTATAGAATCCTTCACCATTGTCCCCACACTTTACATTATTCACTAAAGTGCAAACCCTCGGCGAACTGCGCATGGGCTGGGCTGGGCTGCCTTTACTCGCGGAGAGTCTGACACGGGCTATCTACAGTAGTATATAGCATGCGAGAGTCGATACACGCCCTTCGTTGTGACTCCTTGTGCCTTCATGATACACAGAGCGTGCGGACGCGGTCGAGGTAAGCCTGTGCCAATTCTTTCTTTTCACGCCATAACCGTTCCGAACGCGTTCGATAATCGATAAAGCCAGTGTAGCGTTGGTTTGTTGCGCGTGGTGATGGTGGGTGTAACGGCCGGACGACACGGTACGGACGGACGGACGGACAAACTAACCGTCGATGCGCATGCGCGCCGAGGGTTGGCGCGGCGAGAGCGAACCGGCAGCGCCCGCCGCGGCGCGGGAGCTGGGCCGGAGCATGCGCTGTCTCGAGCGAGGCGGGCGACGACCGCGTGGTCGCCATTGCTACCAGATCCAGCCGTTGGTATAAGATCGGGCTCTCGTGCCGTTGCTTTTTATTTTTCCCTCTTCCGGGGTGTGATCAGGACTAGAGGCAGGGGTGTAGCCTAATGAGGCGGCTCCACCTCCAAGAGGGAAATGCCCCTGACACGCCCCCCGCTCGACGGGTCCCAGTCCTTTGCCCAACATCCCCAATGGGCTCCACCCATGCTAATGGACGAAGGTGTAGGTGACCTGGGGTGGGACTGGGGGGCTAATCCACATACATGGTGTGAAGTGGGATATCTAGGGAGGAAGATTCACACGAGCAAGCACTGTCGGTGTTGGAGATGTCACATCCGGAGCATGCATGGGCGGTGCGCGCTGGGCGCTAACAATACGAGCCCCACCCCCCTCATCGGTGGTATGGCAAGTAAGGTATCGCAGTTCGTAAAAGAAGTGGTGAATTTCTCCAGCCAGTACGGTACACATGGCAGCCGTTCCTACACTGCTGCTAACCTGGCTGGAGGTTTCAACATATATGATGGATATGGAGATCGCACAGAGGCTTTTGTTCTGGTTAGTGGAAACACTGACCGTACCGTATTTTTGGCCGCTTTTTTTTTCAGCGTACGTATGGACATTGGTGGGAAACCTGCCCTTCTGCGCCTCGAATCTTCAGAAACTCAGAGCAGTTCAGGAGTCAAGATTTTGTAGGTGGGCGTGTTTTGCTATTAGCAGATCAATTTGCATAGAAGTATTAATAAATCTGAAAAAAAAAGGAGACAAGATAGGGATGGGATACATGAAACATGGTTAATGAACAGATATGAGCACGCTGACACCCCCAACCCGATCACACAATCCATATCATTATGTTATTGTTGCCTGGTGTGCCACCCGTGAACTCCATTTGGACTCTTGGTTACTCAGTAGCATGACTTTTCAAGCTGCACATTGTTATGGTAATGGTGTTGGTTATGCAGTAGCAAGTCCTGAGGGACAAGCCTTTTGGCCTTGGTAGAGAGGTTGGCCCTTGTTCATAGGTTTTGTGTCAAACACCCCAGATTTGATGTTTTTTTGTACATACTCATTATTAAAAGCATAATAAACAAGCAAGAAAGTGTATAATTATATAATAGCATCTTAAGAACTCGGTTGGGAGTAATCGTGCAAGGTGCTTTGTCTCATTGAAGCGATTTGTAATGCAGATAAAGCATCGACAGCAGGCCCAATGTACGTCATTGAAGTGGACATATGCCCATGGCTTTCTAGAAAGCTCTGTACATCCTCCAAGGCTATTATGGCATCTTTGAAAGTAGTGATCTTTGCTTCAAGGGATTCAGTTTGAACATCGGCCTCTGTTTCACTCTCTTGCATCTCTTCACTGTCTTCAGTCGGCTGTCCCAATTGTGAAATGAAATTTTCATCCCATTTTTCATCTTCTGTGTCATTACATGTTGACAAATCATCATCTCCGTTCACATACTCTTGTGCATTGCACCTCTCAGTCTCGGGTATTATATATATCAGCAATGAGGCCCTGAAGATCTGTATCACTGTCTACGTCCGCGAAAGGATCATCTTCACCCATATCGCATGAAACAACATCCATTGATGAATCAAGTATCCCAGCACTTCGAAAACACTTGCGAATAGTTTCTTCCTTCACATCTTTCCAGGCTTGAGCCACCCATCTAATTGCCATGAGAATGTTCAATGAACTTGTAACTTCAGATGCCGTTTTGCACTGATCAATTTTGGAAAGAACATATCTCAAAAGAAAGCGCCGATAATGACCTTGAAGTTCTTTATAATACCGAGATCAAGGGGCTGCAATTTTGAGGTGGTATTAGGCGGCAAGAAGCATATTTTTATATTGCTAAACTTCTTCTCAAGGTATTCAGGATGACAACCAGCATTGTCCATTAGTAGCAAAATTGAACGATTGGTACTGGATAATTTGTGATTGGAATGGCCTCCATTATATCACCTGTCATCCATGCCTTCCTTTGGTCAAAGTACATCACAGGCAGTACACTTTTGTCGAATCTTTTCAAACAACGTGGGTTTGCCGATTTCCAGATAAAAATTGGCTTTTCCTTTACACCAGCAGCACTGACAAAGAACGCAACAGTTATTCTGTGTTTTGACTGCTTTCCTCCCTTACACCCTTTTCCTTTCTCTCCAAATCCCTTACTAGGCAAAGCCCTCCAGAAGAGACTCCGGTCTCGTCCATATTATAAATGTTTTCTTTTGTGTAACCGCTTACTATTTCAGGGAGCCTCTCTTTCCACGAATCTATCGTGCTTCCTTGCACACCCCCTGATTCACCACACACAGCAAATTCCTTTATGTTGTATCTTTCCTTCCATTTGCATAGCCACCCATTCGATCCTTTGAAATTTGGCTTTTCTAATCGCTCTGCAATCTCTTTAGCTTTTGCTATAAGCTCTGGTCCTCCAGGGTAGATATTTTTTTAGCTAGCAAGAACATACCATTCATACAATGCTTTATTAACTTCTTCAAATTCTGAAACACGACGAACTTTGCTATTTCCTGAAGCATTTGACTGATACAGTGACATTATGGACTCACTGTCCCTTAGAATTTTAGCTATCTGGGTTCTTCCACATCCAAAATGTTCAGCAAGGGATCTATGGCTCATTCCACTGTTCTTTCCAAACATCTTTATCACTTCCACTTTCTGCTTCAGGGTAAGGTATCGCTTTTTCTTCATGTTGTTGGTAGCCATTTTGCCTTAGACGTTACACGTGGTCATGGGTGGACTGTTCCATCTTTTAAGAAGGGATGTCAATAAAGCTGAAGTTACCGGTCAAAAAGCCAACAGGGGTGCAGGCTATGGCCTAGAGATACCATGCACCTATCGCTTGTATGGTCCACCTGCTTATATAAACAAGATGAAAGAACTAGTGGAATCACTTGCTGCATCTGGACATATCTAGCTAGCTAGCTACTGACTGCATGTATTATACTGTATCGTTTTTTGTATGGGTGTGGTTTTGACCGCTGCTGAGAGAGCAAAAATCAATAGGAAAGTGCGCTTGGGGACGCGCTGCGTGGCCGTTGGTCGGACTGGAGAGGTGCCGCTTTTAGAGGTTTTAAATAATGGTAAGTATAATATGGAAGACATTCCGTTCCATGCGTGATGGCCGTTGTAGAGAGTCCGGCCGCTCCCGCTGTAGAGAGGTTCCACTGTAGTGTGATAGGGTCGGGGGTGTCAGCGTGCTCATACGTATGTGTTCATTAACCGTGCTTCATGTATCCAATCCCTATCTTGTTTTTATGCCATCTCTATTTACCCCTTTCTTAAATTCACAGGATTTTTGTCTCCACTCGTTTTTTTATACTACTAAGTATATGTCTGTGAAAGGGGGCAAGCCCCCTATTAAGATTAATATAGGAGACAAAACTTGGTACGCATGTGTATGACATTGTTTGCTGACGACCACATATTGTTTCAACAACAACAAATAGCCTCAGGCACTTTTGTTTGTTTGAACAACCACAAATAGCTTCAGGCTCTTACTTCTTCACTGTTCAAACTTCTTAACGGAGATGAAAGTTGGTACGCATGCGTATTACATCATTTCCATGACGACAACAGGCGTTTTTCTCTATTATTATTAACCCTCGGCGCGCATGCGCAGCGAGGGTTACAGTAGTTACCCTCGGCGCGCATGCGCAGCGAGGGTACTGTAGTTGGGTTTGTCTGTCTGTGTGTCTGTTACTCTCAATCTCACTTCTCGAATGTCTGTTCATCTCACAAACGGTACGACCTACTTAACGGGCAATGAAGGTCAGAAATTTCGAACGGTTTTCTCTGAAAATGCTTCGTTGCAAAGCTAGAGCGCTTCCGCCATCGTATATACGGCTAATGCTATTCGCCCATTTTTATCGCTGCGGAAAATGCGCATGTGCATTATATTCGACCACGTGGTGTAAAGCGGCCGTTTTGTCTCTCGTTCCGTGAGAAGACGTCTGTGAGTTGCTATTTTACTATCATGCCTCCAAGTAAGGTATGTCCACAGTGTGAAACTATTGTACCACTAAGGCTGAAAGTGTGTAGATCTTGCCAACATGTTTTTCGAGCCAAGAGAAAAGCAGAGCATAATTTGCCAGACAAAGCCATGAAACGCATGCGAGTCTTACAGTCAGATAGTGTCAAATCAGCTATGAAGGCTAAAGAAATGTTGCAGAAGACCAGTAAAACAGCATCAGAAACTAACGAACAAACTGTGCATAGACAACAGCAGAATAGAAAGCACATGGCAGAGAGCAGCTGAAACTAGCGAGCAAACTGTGAATAGGCCGCTTACAAACCCTTGAGTGATGGTTAGAATATGGGGCGTGGATATAAGCATTTGATGAGGGGTGTCAAGCCATGAATCAAGTGAATATTTTAAGTGACCAAGTTTGGGTTGTGGGAGTAAGTGACAAAGCTTCCATGTGCTTACTTAGTGATGGGAAAGCCCATCAATTAGTGGTACGGCGCATGCGTTTACTTACACGTGCACGTCACAATGCGCCGAGGGTTTGCACTTCAGTGCTTTTCATTGGGTCTGTCTGTCTGTCTGTGTGTCTGTTACTCTTCATCTCACTTCTCGAGTGTTCTTTCGTCTCACTAAGGATACCACCTACCGAACGGGCAATGAAGGTCAGAAATTTCGAACGGTTTTCTCTGAAAACGCTCCGTTGCAAAGCTAGAGCGCGAAAAAGCCAATATGCAAATACACAACGGCTTACTACGGCATGATCGATCCGCATGCTCTGCGTACCTCGGAGGCACCAGAAGATGCAACGCAGGGCGTGTATCGCCTCTCGCATGCTATCTAGTAGTGTAGTTAGCCCGCGTCACACTCTGCGCGAGCTGCAAGAGACCACGAGTAACAGCTAAAACTAAACCCAGCCCATCAATTAGTGGTAGGGTGCATGCGTTTACTTACGCGTGCGCGTCACAGTGCGCCGAGGGTTTGCACTTCAGTGCTTTTCATTTTTATAGAGGGCTTGTCCCCTTTCACAGAGATATAGGTAGTAGTGTATAAAAATGAGTGGAGACAAGTAAATTAAAAATCCTTTGCGAATTTCAAAAAAGAGGCATATAGGGGAGGGAGATAAGATAGGGATGGGATGCATGAGGCATGGTTAATGAACAGATTTGAGCACGCTGACACCCCCGATCCCATCACACAATCCCCATATTGTTGCCTGGTGTGTTGTTTCTTCTTCTTCTTTATAACCTCCACTGAAGGAGAGTAGCCCCTAGGTGCGGGCGAAGATGAAGTGAATCAGGATAGAAGTTGAATGCGAGCAGATAGAATATGGTGAAGGAATTCAATGCACGCATGCTGTCACGGGGTGTCGTCTAACCACTCGGTGCCGAGGTTGAGCGAGACGAAACGGGCCGGGCCCGAGACACGTACGGAAGCAAGAGGTTGGGGCAGGACAAATTCACCACGTGCGGGGGTTAGGGCAAGGCAGCTCATTATGAGGTGGGAGGCGTCCTCAGTTGCTGAGTTACAAAGGGGACAGGAGTCTGTAGAGGAGGAGGAGATTGTCTGGAAGCGATGCTAGCCCGTAGCAATTTAGCAGTAATTTCATCCTGGAGATATTTTTCCTAGACAACATGGGGAAACCTAGGGTGACCCGCCAGTGAGGGTACGGTTTCCCGAGGCGAGGAGGAAGATAACTGGAGAGAGGGAGATGGCCACTCGTAAACTCCATTTGGACCCTTTGTTACTCAGTAGCATCACTTCATGTTGTTATGGTAACGTTATTGGTTACTCGGTAGCATGACATTTTTGTAATTTCAAGCTGTAAGTCCTGACAATTGTAATGTTGAATGTTTAATACTTCACCTAGGCAACAATATAGGGATTGTGTGATGGGATCGGGGGTGTCAGCTTGCTCAAATCTCTTCATAAACCACGCTTCATGTTTCCCATCCCTATCTTGTCTCCCTTTCTATATGCCTCTTTCTTTAAATTCGCATAATTTTTTTATTTTTACTAAGTACGGTAGTACTTAGTGATCAGCATTTACACAGTCACTACCTTTGATGACAGAAGTGCGATATGAAGTACCAGTTGTTCCAGTTGCCATTGACATTTATGAGACCTATCATCCTGGTGCTGTTGTACGAATCCTAGCCTGCAATACTAATCTGTCTGTGGATAAGAGAAAACGGCATCCTGGGGAAGTAGAGTAAGTGTGTCGTTTACCAATATATATTGCTTAGTGCACTTGTGTGACGTGTGTGTCACATAGGAAGTAATCAAGGGCGTTGACTGCTTTTGTTATGATGAGCCCAGTATTCCATGGGCCTGGTAGATGGGTGGGCCTGTCTGGTTGGAATAAAGTGCACAACTGTTGGGTGCTGTGTGCATTTGGTCCTGGATAAAAAGCGGACCCCCAGCCTGATTTTGCAAGATAGGTTTTGGCAATAAAATGTGGCCCTGAGTCCCCTTTTAGCATTGTATAATAAATAGGACTGCTGGTGGAGTTTTGTTAGTCACCGGCCACCACACCCACTGAGTCTTGTAGGCCCTACTCTAGACATACTTCTCCCATCTATAGTGAGCACGAGAACATAGAAAGGTCGTGTGGTGTAAAGCCACACTAGTTCACCTGCCACGCCTACCCTCTTTATTAGCTCTATCCTTTCTACCATTCTTTCTACCCTACATCACACACATGATTTTACGGACGAGGCTCTCTTGGTGCTTAAACGTGCAGTTCATGTATAAAAGGGACACACCAGTACGGTAATTTTGGACAGTTTTTTTAGGAGAGACATAACAAAACACAAACCGCCATGCGTTAATCGCTGTTCTTACTTTTCGCAGGCGTCGGTAGACGCTCTACAATAGAAATGGCTCAGGTCAAACTCAACGTGATCGTAAAAACACCTCAAAACTTTGCAAGAATGACTCCCTAGGCCTTAAAAAATCACTAGCAACAGTCTATGGCCCCTATATTTACAATGTACCCAAAGCCCTCATATGCACCTTTAGTACTCCACGTGAGAATTCGCTCGTACACAATATCACCATTTTTGTGTCATATTCTTTATCTTCTTCTTCATCTTCTTCTTTTTGAACACAATTGCACACATACAGTACCGCTCAAAAACAATTGCCGTACTGTGCACACCAATTATTATACTAGCACCGTTCGACATAGTGAGACACATTTAAAACACTATGTATGTGTACACATACGCATTTCACCTGAACTTCGGCGCTGTAGCAAGTGTATAGAAAGGGTGGTACGCTTGCACATTGGCATACATTGAACTTATGTATGTTGAGTATGGCGAAACTTTATCCATGTGTTAAAAGAAAGATACTGCAACTAAATTCAGCAGGGCTTAGCAGTAAACAAATAGCCGCAGCATTGAGAAGGGAATATGCAGTTATGCTGTCACGACAAGCCATCAACCGCTTCATTCATTACTATGAAAGAAGTCACAGTTTAGTGCGAAAACCAGGGTCTGGAAGACGCAGTAAATTATCGCCGGCAATTTACCAGATTGTGGAAGCAAAAAAGCAATCAGATCATGAAACTACAGCTACACAGCTACAGCATGTACTCAATCAATCTGGATTTTACATCATAGCAACTATTAAGCGTTGTCGCAAAGAACTGGGACGAACCTTTCTGGGTTCTCGTTATTGCCAACTGATTCGTGAGCCCAACAAATTGAAACGCTTAGAGTTTGCTCAGAAATGTGTAACAGACAAAGAAACATTTTGTGATGTAATATGGAGTGATGAAACATCTGTTCAACTTGAATGTCATCGTAGACATTCGTTTCGCAAGCAAGGGCAAGCACCAAGGCTCAAACCAAGACCAAAGCACCCTGTGAAAGTACATGTTTGGGCTGCAATAAGCAAGAGAGGAGCAACAAAAGTGTGCCTTTTTGAGGGAAAGATGAATGCAGTTTTATATTGAAATTCTTACTCGATACCTTCTGCCTTTTATTGCTGAAAAATTTCCTACCTCACATAATTCAGGATAATAATCCTAAGCACACCTCTCGAAGAGCTAGGGAATGTTATGCTGCAAATGGCATTATCTGGTGGAAAACCGCTCCAGAATCTCCTGATCTGAACCCAATCGAAAACTTGTGGCATGAATTTTTGAGGCGTGAGGTGAAGCCAATGAATAAACAACAGCTTGTTGGTGGCATCAAGCAATTTTGGGGAACAGTAGATGTTTTTAAATGCTGTTGTGATATTAAACATTTAGACAAAGTGGTTCCAAAAGTGATAGAATGCTGTGGTAGTGCTACCAGGTATTTGGTGTTTTTCTCCAGTTTTTAAATACATTTTTAAACCATCATACACATTGTGCATTTCACTTTGTAAAGTTTGCCTGATCAAGTTTCCATAACACAATGAAAAGCACTGAAGTGCAAACCCTTGGCGCATTGTGACACGCACGCGTAAGTAAACGCATGCGCAGTACCACTAATTGATGGACTGGGTTTAGTTTTAGCTGTTACTCGAGGTCTCTTGCCAGCTCGCGCAGAGTCTTACGCGGGCTAACTACACTACTAGATAGCATGCGAGAGGCGATACACGCCCTGCGTTGCATCTTCTGGTGCCTCCGAGGTAAGCAGAGCACGCAGATCGATCATGCCGTAGTAAGCCGTTGTGTATTTGCATATTGGCTTTTTCCTGCTCTAGCTTTGCAACGGAGCGTTTTCAGAGAAAACCGTTCGAAATTTCTGACCTTCTTTGCCCGCTCAGTAGGTGGTATCCTTTGTGAGACGAAAGAACACTCGAGAAGTGAGATGAAGAGTAACAGACAGACAGACAGCTACAGACAGACAAAACCCAACTACTGTAACCCTCGCTGCGCATGCGCGCCGAGGGTTAATGACATGCTGCAAGCAACACGACACCGTGTAAGTGGCAAAATTTAATGACTTAACCACTTAACCTCTTATTTCACCAATTAGCATGCAAACATACACAGCATAACAAGTAACAATCTTCAGAACATCAAATCAGTGGTATGTGTGGGGTGCACAATTACAAGAGGTGATTATGTAGTTCAGTCGAGGTTGTATGGATGGTTGAACAGCGACATGTATATACATAATTTACTTCCTCAGTGACTGGCATTTTTTGCCTATAGCCATACGTGCCTTCGCCCAAACATCATCAGTGTTTTGAACCTTCGTTCGGTAGTAGTTTCTTATAATGTCTTCGATTTCAGCCATCGATTCTGAGTCTAGCACCTCCAGCCGCCCATGATCGCTGGTGAGCCCAGACTTCCTCAAGATGTCGTTACTGAAGTATACTTCGGTGGCTAATGCTACAGCCATTCTCCCTTCCTTGCTCACATCCTTATACTTCCTGTTACCAGTTATTCTCCAAATTTTGTCACCCTTTGGAGTTTGGGGTATAACAATTGATGGGTGAAGGAGAGGTGGGGTGGAAGGGCGCTGAGTGAAGTGGCAACCTGTTGCTGAAGACCACTGAGGCTCAGACATTTCACTCAGAATACTAACAGCCTCGTCAACATCTGGGTCGATTTGAAGGCTAAAGTTTGTTGAGCCTGTGGTGTCTGTGTACTGGTGTTGAAGACACCTTTCCCATTCTATCTCCCTGTGGTGCTCTTGAATTGTGATCTGTATAAATGGTTTTTAAATAAGTATACTATTAGTAGTCTTAAAAACTTACCATCAATGTCACGTTTTCGCGTTTTCGCTGCTTCTTTGGCTCTGCTATTACAGCACTCCAAAACTTTCGAAACCTATCTTTGTCCCAATACACTTGCACTGGTGTTCCAACCTCCAACTTTGCTGGAGGATCAACCAGAGTATCTTTGGGGATCTTGTGAGTCTTCTTATTGTATGAGGAGTTCTTGTTTCCCACCCACGTCACCCATCGAACCCTTCTTCTTCACACATCTCAGGACTGCTCTAACTTTCTAAGACTACTCAACTACAAGTCTGGCTTAGAAACTGGGACTCTTTTATACCCTGTAGCTATTGTCAAGCCTAGCTGGGCAGGTTGGTGAGAAACCAGAATGAACCACAAGGAACTACCCAGATACCACACACTTCAGCAGCTGAAGTTCAGCTGAAGTGTGCACCTGCATGGCTGGCTGGGTGTGGGTGAAATGATGTTTGTTTAAGTAGCCACAGTACCTCCCAACTTCTGACACAACTTCAGACAACCGCAGTTACCTGAAGTACAGTGAAATAATCTTCTTACATTTAGCAGAAGTTCTGCTAGTGGTACTGCGGGGTAATAGCGGCAATTGTTTTTAGCGGTACTGTATGTGCATTACGTAACCTCGATCTTATCACTCAGCCTCGTGGACTAGGACTAAACCACGTAATGCACACCATAATGAGTTTTCTGATTTGAAAAAGAGCTAGATGAGGTTCGAGGTGGGGTGGGGTGGGGGGATTCTTTCCCCTATGTAGAAACCCCTGGCTACATTTGAAGGAAGAGAAAGATGGGGTTAGGGAAAGGGATAATTCTCCTCTTTCCCCTATGTACGTATGTTGATTTTCTAATGGAAAGGAGGAAATGCCCTTCTTTCCGTTTACGTAGAAAAAACCTGCCAACAACTTACGTACCGTCATTAATGTTATTATGTGTGCATATTTTTCATTTTTGGCGAGCGAAGTGTTTGCATTTGAATAACTATGAGAGCTCTCTTCAATCACCAATAAGTATTTTAGAGAAATCACACTATTTGGACCACTTATTAATTACTAGTAGGCACAAACACCTGCCTTTTTGCCAACGGGTATATACATCAGTGTGCTATTTCTTTTGATGGGGGACCCAGGATAACCAAACACAAATTCAAGTGAGGGTGATCATTAACGTCTTTATCAGGTGGTCATAAGGGTTGGTTACATTATTATGTGTGTTGTATTCATTTTGTTAGACACAGTAATACTCTATATCAATTAGCAGTACCGCGCATGCGCAGAGCGCCGAGGGTTTGCACTTTAGTGACTTTGACCAACTTGTATGTTGCTGGGGTTTCCCTCATGACCACATGTAAAATAGCAGCTCATGCTTACACATTCACGTACTAGTAACTCGGCGAAGAGGGTTGTCCCATTGCATGGTCTTCCTTGTGATCTCAGTAGGTGCTATGTGAATGTACTATACAGAAAGAAGGAGAAATAAGAAGATTATAAACGATAATGAATGATATAAACGGTACTAGGGGGGGGGGGGAGTTAGTCTAACAGTGAAGTAAACAATGTTGTTCACTGTAAACAACAACAAAGTGCCACAGGCAATAGGCAATACATTAAGAGCAAAATGTTCTTAGGGGTGAGGGTGACAGTTGGATAGTTAAACATAATGCGCGAGATCCAGACCATGTGACTCTCTGGCCAAGGCAACTTACAATTTACTTATGTTGTGCAGGTGGGTAACACTCTTTTCTGGACCTACTCAATGCTCTAATATTGCAAGGTCAAGGAAATTTAGTCCACCTATTAAAACAATTGACTTTCCAACTAAGTGAGTTACTGAATTTTTGGACTGAAGGCAAAACCTTCTCTTACACAACTATTATACCTTGTATCTTAATGCCTGTAATACGGCCTCCCAATCCACCAGCCAGACTTCTCATATCTATCACATCTAGTTTGTTACGTCTTGAGTTTAACTCTGGAGACTGTGGGTATTACACTGAGTTGGATGGAGTTGAATTGCATGGCTACATCAAAGAAGGTATATTGTAAAAACAAAATGAATTTAGAAAGCTATATACACAAGTAAATTAAAAATCCTGTGAATTTCAAAAAGGCATTATGGGGATGGTATAAAAAGAAAGGGAGACGATATAGGGATGGGATACATGAAGCTTGGTTAATAAACAGATTTGAGCACGCTGACACCCCTGACCCCATCACACAATCCCTATATTGTTGCCTGGTGTGCCACTCAAACTCTATTTTGTCTCTTGGTTACTCAGTAGCAATGTGTTTTCAAGCTACACATTGTAACTGTGTTGGTTACTCAGTTGCATGACTTTTTTTAATTTTAAGTCCTAATGTTGAGTGTTTAATACTTCAGCACCTACGTAGGCAACAATATTCAGGACTTACAGCTTGAAAATACAAAAGTCATGCTACTGAGTAACCAAGAGTCCAAATGGAGTTTACCAGTGATAGGGATGGGCAGCATCATTGATGTACGGGGCTATGATAGAGAGTTTTGTTCATCATCATCTTCTTCTTCAGATTCAACACCCATAACTCAAAAATGAAATAACATTTCAAACTTTGTAAGAATGTAGATATCAGTCACCCGAAGGGACTGGTCATACTCATTTGTTTGTACACAGTATTGGTTACTGTAGACAACAACAAATAGCTCCAGGCAATAGATTGTAATTGGATCACATGTTACATACATTATTACACTACCATACATTGTAATTGGATCACAGTTAAGAGCTGTGTTAACGAAACTTTGTATACATAATGTAACTCCTCAAACTTGCTAATGGTAGAGTTGAAACTTGGTACGCACGCGTATTACACTGTTTCCATGATGACCACATGTTGTTTGATAGCCTCGGGCACTTTAGTACGAAATTACTTCTTCACTCCTCAAACTTGCTAAAGGTAGCATGCATGGAGATAAAATATGGTACGCACTGCGTATGACATTGTGTCCATGACAACCACATATTGTTTGAACAACGACAAATGGCCCTTTTCTTTAAAAATTACTTATTCACTCCTCAAACTTGCTAACGGTTGTTACGCATACGTATTACATCGTTTCCATGACGACCAACATATAGCTTCTGGCCCTTACTTCTTCACTCTTCAAACTTTTTAACGGCAGCACACATGGATATGAATCATGGTACACATGTGTGTTACATCATTTCCATGACCTCAACAGGCAATTTTCCCTTTTCTTAATTTTTATTGGGGGCTTGGCCCCTTTCACAGAGATAATAATAGATAGTAGTATATAAAAACGAGTGGAGACAAGTAAATTAACAATCCTGCTAATTTAAAAATGAGGCATATAGTGATGGTATGAAAAGAAAAGGAGACAAGATAGGGATGTGATACATGAAGCTGACATCCCGACCCAATCACACAATCCCTATAATTGTTGCCTAAGTGAAGTATTAAACATTCACCATTACAATAGTCAGGACTTATAGCTTTAATACAAAAAAGTCATGCTACCGAGTAACCAGCACCGTTATAGTGAGTTTAAGAGTGGCACACCAGGCATCAATATTGGGATTGTGTGATTGGGTCGGGGTGTCAGCTTCATATATGTATCCCATCCCTATCTTGTCTCCCTTCCTTTAAGTACTACCGTACTTAGTGATACTGCTCTTGAGAGATATCCAGTAAGTAGCCACCGATATTGCATTGTTCGTAGGGGAGGCATATGGTATGGCAATTAGTGGTCAATCCAGTTTACATGCCAGTCTGAAGTAAGGGGATTGTTATGATCTAAAGACAATAGTAGCAAAATAGAAAACTTCATAATCTGGTTCAGACCAGGATGCTAGAGGGGAGCTATTCAGGTAGCAGCATGAAATACTCTCTCTGCCTTACCCTGTAAATTTACACTGAGGTGCAATATTTTCAGTGTAATGCAGGTTTGTGTTTTAGCGTTGTATGTGCCGTTGACTCTTTTTTGTCCCCACACATAATGCTGTCTAGCAACATCCTAGCAACTCCCACAATCAAACAACAGACATATCCTAAAATGTAGATGGTCGACCGCATTCAGGAGGCTTTACAAAAACGGTGTGAAGTGTCATGCACCAATACTTTTGCAGCCAAAGTCACATGCATGTTATGCGAACAGCATTTGAAAGCAAACTGGTTTTTAGTATGTAGACATCCATTAACCCTCCTGTCGCATGTGCAGTGAGTGTTAGTTACTCAGTTTGTGCATAAGTATTTGTCTGTTACCATGTTTTCTGCTACCACGCGCAACGAGATAACAAAAGAGTGATACTAACAGGTCCAATGCTAGATTATAAATTTTCATAAAAGTACTGTGTTCCTGAGTTATGGCTTCAACAAGCATGCAAATTGACCCAAGCTTACCTTGATCCACTTGCTTTACCTACCTTGGAGGCACCATAAGTTACAATCGAGTGCGAGTAGGGAGTCCTGCATGCTGTCTACTAGTGTAGTTAGCCAGTGTTGGACTCTCAGCAAGCTACGAGAGACTATGACAACAGTGTTGCCCAGTCCATCAATTAGAGGTACGTACATGTACCATCTTGCACATGCAAATGGGTGTCAACACTATCTTGTCAATTAACTCTTGATTATGGCCTGTTAAGGGATCTCCTGTTAAGTTATGAGTGTTTAGTAAACCGTTCCCATGAAACAGGAAAAGTTGCACAACTTACTGGTGATTTTTGTGCACTTAATTGAATAGTGAGTATCAATAAGTACAGTAGTTTATGATAGGTAGTTTTGTTCATCTTCATCTTCATTGAGGACCCAAAAAGTTAATAGATAAAGCCATATAATTTCTTTCTCCTCTCTGAAGATGACAATGACAAAAACTTCCTAATTATCGCAGGGTTGGAGGCGAAACATGGTATTCATATAAGTATTACTCAGATCTTTATGAACAAAGACCCGCCACTTTTCTTAAGAAGTATGGTATAAAAAGGATTGTGTGATGGAATAGGGAGTGTCAGTGTACTCACAATCTGTTTGTAAGCCATGCTTTGTACGTGCCATCCCTATCTGGTCTCCATTCATTAACCCTCGGCGCGCATGCGCAGCGAGGGTTATGGTACTAGGTTTGTAAGTGTGTCTGTCTGTCTGTCTGTCTGTCTGTACCACAACTACGCGCAACGAGACAATGAAACAGCGATACCAACTGGTTCTTCGCTACACTGGCTTCATTTTTAAAAAAGGCAATTTTGGTATAACTACTGTGTTCAAAAGTTATTGCGTGAAAAGCAAGTGAACAAGCCAATATGCAGGCTTACCTCGACCGCGTCCACTCGCTCTGTGTATCTTGAAGGCACGAGAAGTCGCAATGAAGGGCATATATGCCACGAATAAAGGCATAAAAAGCCCAGCATTTCAATTAGTGGTACCACACATGCGCAGTTCGCCGAGGGTTTGCACTTTAGTGCTTTTCATTTTTATATCATCCGTATTTCTCCTTCTTTTAATTAGCACGTAACCCTTTCTTTGGTTAGAATATGCTTGTAAAGTTAAATTCACCTTCTCTTTTTGTAGGCATGCAGGAGTTCCGTGATCGTGCAACAGATTTTAAATTATCTGTCACAAATCAACTTCTTAGAATGTTATCCCTCTCAAATCGTCAAATATCAGTTGGAGATGATGATGATGATGATGAGAGATTGGGATATTTCAGTATGTTACCAGTAAGTCATAACGAAAACTACAATGGCTAGGGCTGAACCCTCACAGCAATGTGTGTGCCTTTCGTGTAATGGCAGGTACTGTGTATATGACACAATTGCTTCATGCTTGCGCTAGCCTCATCGCAAGGCATTCCATGCAAGTGAGAAGTAGGGCCTGGGAATGATGCTATGCTTGTGCTAACTATATTCATTAAAGTGTTTTAGGAAACTTTGTTTTACACAACATTTGCAATTCATGGTGCAAAAATGAGCATATGATAGAAAGTACACAGGCTGGAAGAGAAAGAGAAAGAACCGACATTTGGTGTTTTCCAGTGCATGGGCAAAGACCACTGGCAGTAGACTTCGATGGAATGAGAATAGACCAGATTTTGCCTGCGTGGTGTAGCTCTGCACTGGACTTCTAGTCATGATGCGAGCTTGACCTTTGACAAAAGTTTGTTCTTCCTCGTTTTCCTCCTGGCTCATGTATTAAATTTATCATCCATCTACCAGGTCAACTCTAACACCAAAATTCTTCAATTTACAGCAATAATGGTGAATGGAATGGTATAAAAAGCAGGGATGACCTAGTGCATTTGATGCAGCATGGATGATGGCTACATTCAAACTGACATTGCTTGTTGAAATTTTCCTCCACAAAAATTGACTGAGGTTTTATCACTAGCATAATATACTTTGCAGATTGACATACATGATGCTGACGTAGTGTTTTAATTTATAAATGCAGCCATCTGTGTATAAAAGACGTAAGTATGTACATATGTACTTTCTTGAGAAGATGTTATTTCATCACACAGGATGAAATAATTCAGTACATCTTCAAATTTCTTGACCTAAAGTCCCTGTGTAATGCATCTCAAGTATGCTCGTAAGTCTGTGCTGTATGTTGTAAAGCATACAATTAATTTTTTTTTATTATAGAATATTTCTCAAAAACGCATATGATCCAATGCTATACAAGGAACTAAATCTACAGCCATTCTGGAATACTGTAAGTATCGCAATTATTGACTACACACTTGGAACTGACAATGCTTGATCGGATAAAGTGTCCTACACACAAGCCCTATATTGTTGCCGTCATTCAGTACATCAGTGTACCAAGTTTCATTGTCAGAGAACCCACCATAAGCAAGGCATTTTTGCCTGAGGCTGTTTGTTGTTGTTGTTAACCTGTAATTTCTGTTTTAATGAAAAGCGGCGAACTGCACATGCACGGTACCGCTAATTGATGGGCTGGGCCTATTATATTAGTATACGTTTACTCGTGATCTCCCGCTAGTAGCCCGCGGAGAGTCTGACACGGGCTAGCTACAGTAGTAGATAGCATGTGGGAGTTGTTACACGTCCTTCGTTGTGGCCTCGGAGGTAGATGTAAGCCAGAGCTAATTAGCATATTGGCTTGTTCACTTGGTTTTCACGCCATAACTTCTGAACGTGGCACTTTTATTACGAAAATCGCCTATTATAAAATGAAGCCAGTGTAGCGCTGAACCCGCTGGTGTCACCTGTTTGTTGCGCGTGGTGGCAGAAATCGTGGTAACAGACGGACAGACGGATAGACAGAACGACTACTGTAACCCTCGCTGCGCATGTGCGCGCCGAGGGTTAATTAACTCTTATCATACAACATCAGTGTACTAAGTTTGACCAACCACAAGCAAGTTTTGGGCACAAACACCAATTATTGTCTGAGGCTCTTTGTTGCTGTTTACACACTTGTAATATCTGTTTCGATGAACAGTTATCATGATACATCAGTGTACCAAGTTTCATTTTGAGAGAACCTACTATAAGCAAGTTGTAGGAACAAACTCTATTCACAAGGTTATATTGACCAACCATGAACAAGTTATAGGCACACACTATCTACAAGTTTTTATTGCCTGAGGATGTTCATTGTTGTTTAGCTACAAACTTGTAATTATTGTTTTGATGGGTTACATATGTTTTTGCAGTCTGGGTATTAGCATTAACTAGTTATCACAATTTATTAGTCTCTATCTGTTTTTGTTGTTTACATGTAAACAATTTTGTTTGCAAACAAATTTAATACTCTTGCATGCCAGGTCATGGACTCAAAACTCTGTGCAAAATTACATTTCGCTTGTCGAAACTGAACAAAACAACAACAGCAAGAATTTTGGGTTTTCAATCAGTTACTGATAATGGGTTTTAAGCTATACATGCTTCTTTTCAACATACGGATCAGACTGATGTGTCAGAAGTGGAATGTGATCGAAACGATGCTGGATAACCTGAGTCATCCCTATATACTAGGTACTACCATACGGCGCTTTTTCTTACAATAGACAACTTTACGCTAAGCGAAAGAATTTTGATTAGAATTGAAATTACGTTTTACGTCATGTCCGGAGTACTTCGTGCGAGCGGATGTCCATAGAAGATAGTACAAAATGCACGATATTACGAAGGTCCCAGACGGGCTCCAGTAACGGAAAGTCCCAATATAACGCTATCCAGAAATATTGGAATGTCTCCTGCATGCACTAGTGCAAGAACCAAGACTGTAGTCCCCGTAGTTCCCGTGTGACAACGCCCAAACATGCCTGGTGATACGTGCATTGTGTGCGGGAATACTCGGAAGAAAGATCCTAGTGTGTCCATGCATCGGCTACCTAAGGAAAAAAGCAAGAGGCTGCGGTGGCTGACGGCTCCGGAACTGACCGATGCATCGACCGTCACCACCGAGTGTGTAGTCGACACTTCACTGAAGGCGATGCCAAACACGATCCTCAGCTGAGTCTAGGCGGATCAAGAGGTTTGCATCGCCGAAAAAGACGTGGACTGCTCGAGCAAGGAGAGCTATGACATGAGAGGCATAGAGTATCGCTGCTCATAATGTTTTTACTGCCTGGAACTCGAATAATCTGACGCGGCACAGCCCGGGAACGGTGAGAGCTAGCGACTTCGTTCTTGCTGCAACTGGACCTTCGAGGTTGTTTAATTTTCCACAGTTCGTTTAAAAAGAATACTCCGCTCCACGGGCGCGCCTGCGCACACATAAAAATTGCCTATTTTGAATTGTGTTCTACGGGCATCCGGTGTCTCCCAGTACTCCGGACGCGACGAGCGGAACAATTAAATTCCTCATGGCGTAAAATAAAGTTGTCTATTGGGATGTAGGGATGGCGTAAATTATGAAAAAGGATACCAACGAGAAAGCTGCTTCAGCTGAACAAAAATCACACATCCATCCCTACATCTTTTTTTCTTTATCTCTGTCTAAGGATGTGTAGGAACTCATTATTGGAGTAGGTAAACTAATTCGTAACAAATCACAGTCGACGTTGTGAGTATAGGAAGATGTAGGGATGAGGAATTGGGGGCGATAAAAATGCTTGGCAGATGGAAGAACCAGGCTTACCTAAACCATGTCCACATTAGGACTCCGGCATTGGAACTGGCATCGATCGCGATAGCCATGGTGGAGTCACCTCTGTGAGGCCCACCAACCCCGTACCGTTCACCCAGCCACACCGCCCAGTAGATTGGACTTCGGGGAGCTATTCACATCCCCATTAGCCTTCAGCCATAATGCATATTCCAATGTAGTTGTATTACCCAGTGGGCACAGCTGGTTGTACAAAACTTCGCGTAAAAGGGGTGTAAATGCCCTGATTCAATCATGGGATGATTGTACGCGACTTACCCCACGACAGAATCATGCACAAATTTAGGCGACCTACGCCATGATCCCATCATGGGGGAGTTTTACGCAGGTTGCAACCCAGGTAAAACCCCGTCTAGTGGACGGTGCTCTTACAGTGGCACGGTTTTACGCGACTTGGTAATTATCCTCAAAAATCCGGGGTGCTCTCCAGGATTGCGACCTTTGACCTCACATAAAACCGGCCTAGAGTAATACGCCCGAGAACACAACTGCTCTGCAAGGCTTTTCCGTCGTAAACTCTAGCCTTTGACCTCACGTAAAAATGCCAGAGTAACTCCCTTCCGCTACTCTGCAGCCTTTTTACTCACGCACACAGTGCCGAACGACACGACACACCCACCTAGTGTGCGCATGCGCGTGTGGAGAATTCATTGCGCATGCGCGCCAGAAAGAGGGTTGAGAATAAACAAGTACCCAAAATGGGGGCTGGGCTCATAAAGAGAGCAACACAAACAAGAAGGTTGTGCATGATCAATGCCATAGTGGTGAATAGCATATGTTATTGGGTTGAGTCTAAAGTTGTTGATTAATCGAGGATCATAAATCCATCTTCATCAACAGCAAATTCCTCACTGGTTTTGTCAGAAGGGAAAAACACTGCATACTACCCTGTCATGCGATCTATGTGATCAGTCCTTGATACCATCCATCCTCCTCATCATATTTTACTCTTACCCTCTTACCTATGACTTCTAGATGAAGATTTGAATGGATAGTGACTACACTCTCATCAACTCTAACAGTGGTTTTGTCAGTGCTTTGCTCCTGTTGTAAGTGACACCGCTTATATGGGGGACCAAGCTCATTTGTCTTGTCTTGGAAAGCTTTCCTTTTACGGTGAAGTTTCCTTGCAGCAGCACTGCACCGTCTTGCTTCATAAGTTTTACTTCTGTAGGAAATGCTGATTCCTTCATTAGCAGCAATGTATTTATAGCATGCTACTTAAGTTTATATGCCTCCATCATGGCTAGCTTTAGATATAAAGGTTTGTTTACAGAACAATCCTGGTTACTGTGTTCTACTGCATTAGTTGTAGTCGGACATTCTTCCCATGTCTGTTTGTTCATTTTTGTAAAAGCTTTTCTTTTCTTAGTTGCCCTGCAGGGTAAGCTTGGGGACGATGGGTTTGAGCATTTCCAGTTTCAGGAAAGCGTCCTTTATATTGGGTAGTGAGCTGTGGGAGGATAAATTTGGTTCTTTGCTTGGCCTTGTTAAAGGTTTTATTTTGGATGTTTGGGAGCTAAGGAAGGTTAGGTTATACGGCGATAATCCCCGCATACAACAGACCCAGTCCCAGATTGCGTCTGGGGAGCTGCAAGGTGTCGCTGGTGGAAAGGGTGAGTTGAGGTGTCTGGGAGGTGAGATAGACACCTCATGTTCATATGGTGTATGTTCGTTTCTTAGCGGTTCTGCCCATTGCTCTGGGTGCGTGGTCTATGGCCCTAGTGCTATGGCAGCCACCTGAGTATTATTATTATTATTATTATTGTAAAAGCTTTGCATAGCATTTTTAAATGAGTGTTGCGGCACCACCATTGAGCCAATTTTTTTGCCTTTTGACCAGTCACATTAAGTATCAACATAATGTGCTTCATCTTCACTGCAAATCCCTGACATTTTTTCATCAACATTTTGGACCACACAGGGCTTCAAAACAAGCTATTATGTCAAATTTGCTTCATTTGGATTATTTTTGCTTCAAAATGCTGTGAGTCCACTCAAAACGTATAGGCATGGTGCATCACAGGTAGGTAAGCACAAAAACTGGGATTTGGCAATTTTCTGGTGGGATAAGCAGTATTTTTGCTTGATTTATCAAGCAAAAAGCTGGATGGTTGGTAGGTACGTATGAATCTGCTAATTTGTTTTCTATATCAATTGCAAAAGACATGAAAGTGCCGAGTTTTTCATGAAAATCAAACATATTCCGAAAAATGGAAACAGAACTTTTAGTTGAGACACTGTTTAATGTAAAATTCTTCTGCTGCTGTTATTTTCCTGAACGAGCCACTGCTGGAGGAGAGGTGCCGTCCGTTCCGGTTCCCAACTGGTTACCTGTCAGGGGAGAAACAGCAAGTGGAGAACCTCAAACTGTTAATAATATATGATCTGTAAATGTGTATTTCACTAATCTGTTGCGCGCGTACAGGGAGAAACTTTCTAGGTTATAAGGCTTTGGATGCGGTTGCTTATCAACTGAGCCAGTCAATGTGAAATGCGACGTACAGTGCGTTTGTCCGTGCAGAGTTTCCTGACAACATGAGTAATGGGAAGATTCAATGCCACATTGAGGCAAGTTCAAATTTACATGCATACGTTGTGGGCAACACCTGGATTTGGCAAGGTTTATTGCCGGGATTAATAACGATAGGTAAATACCGTTGTTCACATGGTGCAGTTTTATTGTGAGGGGTTAGTTTTAGCTTGCCCCCCTTGATGTTATAGGTGACAGTATATATTGGGAAGGAGTATTAAAATTAGGCTGGAATTCATACCTTTTCATACGCTTTCAAGATCGCTGTCTTAATTGTAGCTTTTCTCACTCACAATTTTCAAAAGATTGGAATCAGTTTTCATAGAAGGGTTTTTTGAACTTAATAGTGAGAAGATGGAAGCAGTAAATGTGTGTGTGTCAACGCTTATTCTGGCACTACAGGCTATGAGGCAGCCTTGAGCAATACCAACATCTCCAGAACTACGCCAGCCTGGAAATTAAAATGCCGATTTTCCTGAAGCGACTGCGTTCGAGAGATATGCCATGAAAACAAGCGAAAAGGCCAATATGCATAATCGCACAGGGGTTTCCCTCTACCTGTTCGCACAAAGCTGTCACACCAAAGTAGCAATCTTCTATATGCACACTTCCAAAACCTTCAACAAATGAATAGCACTAAACTGCACCCTCGGCACACTACCCATGTAATAATAGACCATGTGATGCCAAGAGAAAAAAGATGGGAGCTCTGTTTCGGGCTTGTTGACCCTCACCAGCAAAGCATACCGCAACTTCTCTCTCTGGCATCACGAGTTTATAAAGGCAAAGTTGAGCGCAGCACTTGTGGTTTTGAACTAATGAGATTCATCCCCACAAGGCTTTGCTCAGGCGCAGCCCATGCACTGTATCGCTAATTGATGGGCTGCTATATGTATTCTGTTACTCATACGTAGTCTCGTGCCCAGACCCCCGTCCTATACTAACAAGGAAAATGGTCTGGTGGCAGTTCCGCGATTTCTTTGTTGTGCTGATTCAGCAGTCTTAGTTCAAACAGAACGCTCAACGTCACATAAGAATGTGACCAATCTCCGTTAAACAAATCTCCGTTCGTACTGAGTATCACGAGAGAATCGGAATACGTGCGGTTAATGTAAGGCTGTTGATTAAGCAAAACCAAGAAAGTGCTCGAATGTTACCAGACCTTTAGAGGGCGGGATCTGGGTACGAGAATAGTTGCTTGTGGTCTCCCGCAAGTAGCTTGTGGACAATCTACACCACGCGGGAGTCAATACACGCCCCCTGTTGTACCTTTTTGCACCTACACACAGAGTGAGTCATTTCCCCCACTTGTCATGGGCCAGCTACGTAGTTAACAGAAAGCAGGGAAATCACAGACACGTTGAATTTCTCTAAGAGATTCTGTTCGTTTTGGGGAAAATTTCCCCACACACATCAGTGTCATATACACATAACAGTCTCTGAACAAACCAAGAAAACAGTTTACAATTGAGGGTGTATATTACAAAATATGGCATCACTTTGGTGAAAAACGGCCTTCATTTTTGAAAAATACCAGAGATTTTTACTAAAAATGCAGGGAATATTGAAATGGCCCTTGTGATAATATTTGTCATAATTGTCTTCTTACATATCTAGGACAATAAGAGTGTGGTGCAGGAAAGGGATGAAGGCACTTATCCACCCCAGCGTTGTTCTAAACCCTACTTACTGATGCAGTTTGCCCATGTTTGAGGCAAAACTGGCTCTGTCAACAATTTAGAGTCCCACGTGGCGTTACCCGCCCAGCCCATCTATTGGTGGTTTTTGCCATAGCACAGTAGTTTTTGGTTTTCTGGTTGTTGTATTATGAACCCCTTCTAGCTGAGTTGCCCTGGTAGCTTCGTTGGCAGAGCGCTACCTAGACTGCAGAGTGTACGGGTTTGAACCCCACCCAGGGCAGTTCCTTGAGTGTAGCTGACTTGTTTGCTTTGCCTTTGCCTTGCTACCTTTGTATTGGCACATGCATTGCACCAAGGGTTTGATTATTCATTTTTTCTCATTCTTACAGGTCGATGATATTGCCCTAGCTGGTTTATCAGCTCGTTGTGGCAATATGTTTTCCGTCAATCTTTCTTGGACTGGAGGTGGTGGGCAGGTTACGGAGCCAAGTCTTTGCAGGCAATTATATACGTACATACATGTGAACCTATGAATAAGTTGGTACATTGGCCCGCGTTCATATGCAGGGGCATAACTAGCATTGAGGCAGAGGAGGCAGTTGCCTCCTCTGTTTTTGCTGACTAATGAATCATTTATTATGCAGAGTAACCAACGAGCGCGACAGCATACGAGCGCGTGTTGGATCCTGCTTGTGTGAACGATCCTTCAGCGCTCAAAGGCGCGTTCGATGACGGATAGCGTCTTGACCAGATAGGAGTAGGTTACATCAACCAAGAGCGGACATCTCCTCCAGAGAGTATCTTACATACCTATCAACCTGCAGATGAACCTTTCCTTGAGAAATGTGAGCAATTTGCTTGATTTGGAGTATTTTTGCTTGAAAATGCTGTGTGTCCATTCAAAATGTATAGGCATGGTGCATCACAGGTAAGCAAAAAAAATAGGGATTTTCTGGTGGGGTAGGCAGTATTTTTGCTTGATTATCAAGCAAAAAGCTGGATGGTTGGTAGGTATAAGATACGTATTAGTTAACGTACGTATAGGCGGCGAGGCGGTACAGGATTACTCCGAGGCTGTTGACTACACCGGACGAGAGCGGAGCCGGTATAGTTAACAGCCGAGGAGGATATCCTGTACTCGCCAAGACACATGACGTTAACTGATTTGTAGCCCAACTAGCCAATCACAATGCTGAATTTCTGCTGCTTCATATATTGTTGTGTAAACTCTTGAAGCCAGACAATTGCACTACTCCCTAGCGCTAGATGTTGTGATAAGGACTTCCTGTCCAATACTGAGCCCACAGCTCAGAATACAGCGTATATGTGAGCGCTGGATTGTTTGAAGTTGGACTACAACTACTGTGAGGTAGGGACGCCAGTTGCTGTAACTCCCCAGTTTGTTGAGACGAGTGGCAAAGCGATCCACTACAGGGGGTTCTATTGCTGAAACTACAAGTTTTGATTTAAGGCTTAAAGGGGCCTACTTTCTCAGAGCCTACGGTTGAAAATCTCCTGGTTTCCAGTCTCTATCTGGAAGAGTGGTCTGCTACTGAGCAGTAATGCCTAATTGAGAAAAATATGTGGATAAGCTGCAGACCTGTCGATTGTCTTGATCCATGTCAGTTGGCTATGTTATGGTTCTGTTGCATAACCACAAGCTCTAACCCATTGCAACCTGCAGATAAACCTTTGCTTGAGAAATGTGTCAAATATGCTTGTATTTTTGCTTGAAAATGCTGCACGTCCATTCACAATGTATGGGCATAATGCATCACAGGTTAGCACAAAAAAGACGGATTTGGTGATATTCTGGTGGGATAGGCAGTACTTTTGCTTGATTATCAAGCAAAAGGCTGGATGGTTGATAGGTATGCCATTGAAGCTGAGTAACACTGATTGTCTACAGAATGGCAGCAATAGTGACCAGACCTTCCCTTGTTACATCCGGCCCTCAGCCAAAGAGTATATACTACTGTTGCTCGTAAGCCCCGCACATAATTATTTCGCGCGTGCCTTAAAATACATACGTCGTAGAAATATTGGGCGAGCGGCCCCCTATAGTGGTGTTGCACCGTCCGTCGTGGTTATGCGCATGCGCCAATATGCGCTTCAACTTGGGCCGGGTCCGGGGGTTAAGTTCACGCCCAGCAACGATACTGCTGCTGCTATAAAAGAGGCAGAACGCCCTGTCATCGAAAGTCCTCACGACCGAGAGGCTTGTCTTTTTCAGTTACGATTACGAGATCGACGGACAAGGCAACGATACTGCTTCTGTTCAATGAGGTAGGCAGACCCGGCCGTCGAAAGTCCTCACGACAGAGAGGCTCGTCTTTTTAAGCGACGATTAAGCTGGAGCGGGCAAGGCAACGTTAGGCTACACATTACTGTTCCGTTGCTTCTTCTTCATCTTTATAACCTCCACTGAAGGAGACTAGCCTATGGGGTAGGCGATTGAGTGAGGGCAAGTTGATGGCGAAGACGCTCAGCGTGCAGGTTGTGAATAAACTCGACAATCTCTCTCTGTAGAGGTGGATCGTTGATCCACCGACTGCCGAGGATGTATAATAATTATACTCTGCAAAACCGGTCGGGTCCGATTCCAATGACGACGCGCAATTGCCAGCAGTGGCGGAAGAATACGGGCTGAGGAGAGGGCGGGGCAGTGAGAGATAAAGCGTTCTATATCTTCTGGTCCAGAATGGCAGAGCCTGCAGGTAGGATCTGAGACTCTGTGCCGGAATCTGCAGGTATCAGACTCGAGACCATGGCAGTTTACAAGCAGCCGGATCCTGGTGATGTTACGCATGGTCACACGTGGGAAGCCGCGACAGACGGATAGATGCGGAATGGTCCTGCCCAGTTTCACCTCCGTGCATTGTGAAAGGGGGATGTGGTCACATTCAGTCATGAAGTCTGCGTACTGAGAGGCTAGTAGTAACCGCTTCACTGTCCTCTTCCACCCACCCTGGCTCCACTGGCCATCAAGGATGACGTTGATAGGGGGGAGTCCATGGTGGACCAGTGCCCAGACAGGACAGCATTCGCCCTCGAGTATTCTGGATAGCAGGGATCAACCCAATTGATAACGGGTTCTCGAGCCGTTTCCGAAGTAGCTGGAGGAGTAGCGAGTAAGGGGGTAGAAACGTGAAGGAGTGGATAAAGTTCAGCTGTCTCTGGTGGATGAAGGCATTGATACTGAGGGTTCCTGTGATGTGCAGAAGGGCCTTAGAGTTCCAGCTGACTGGAAGACCAAGGATCGTTCTCAGTATTTTGCAGTGGACTCTCTCAAACATGATCAACTCTGTTCTGGTGATGTTCCAAACTCACACCCGTAAAGAAGAACAGGTAAACAGTATGCCTTATACGGATTGTGGCAGGATGAAGACAGCCAAAACGAGCTCCAATGGCATTCAGGCTAAAATAAGCACTCCTGCCTGCACTGCAACGCTCAGAAGTTAGGAGGATACATACCATCTCCGTGATTGACCGAGGAGGACTCTGGAATTCTTGGACTCTCCTATCACCAAAACTGCTGATTTTAGAGGAGCATTGAGTTCATACCTCCAGTCCGCAGCGTATGCTGGCACAATGTCTAGCATGTGTTGAAGATCTGCCTCAGATTCGGATATCAGAGCCAAGTCGTCTGCATACATGGGTGCTCCACAGAATATTTCGTCAATCCAGACTCCATAACCAGAGGAACAGAGCTCTACAAGAAGGTCGTTGACGAAGATGGTGTACAGAGATGGAGAGAGGACAGCACCTTGATGAATTGGGAAGGACCGGGAGGAGGAACAGTTCCAGAGAATGGAGGAGAAGCATTCTGTATATATACCAGTTGAGGATGAGCCTCCAGATGTAATAGGGAAAGTCGAACTTCAGGAGCAAGAATCCTTCATGCGAGACAGTGTCATTTCTATAGTCGTGGTAATTTTTAACCTTTGGCGCGCATGTACAGCGAGGGTTACAGTCTGTGTGAGTATTTCCGTCTGTCTGTCCATCTGCAGCTATTCTCGCACTACAGGGTTCTAGGCGACCCATGAGCGATACCAACGTCATCAGAACTACACGAACCTGAAGAATAAAATGGCAATTTTCATATGCCGTGGAAATAAGCAATAATAATATGCATAATCGTACCAGCTTACCTCGACCGATCCGCTTGCTCTATGTTGCTTGGAGAAGTCACCACGAAGGCCGTGTATCGACTCCTGCATCGGCATGCTATCTTATTGTGTAGCTAGCCCGTGTCAGACTCTCCGCGACCAATTAGCATGGGCCCATCAATTAGCGGGACCGCGCACATGTAATGCCAAGGGTTTGCACTTCAGTTTGTTTCCAGCACACAAGTAGATACATACTTCCACTAGAGCCTACTGCCCAGACACCTTCTTCACTCTTACATACCGAGACTGTTAGTCACTTCACTTATTGCCTTGGTTTTCTGTCTACCACTTTTTTTATTTCACGAGCGGGAGCGAGCTACCTAGTGGTCTGAACGGCGCAATTTTACGCCTGTATGTCGTTCAACCGCGCATGCGTATAGATTACAGGATTCTTTTATGAGAAATCATTTTATAAGGTAAACGGGGGGGGGCAACTTCGGACACTGGGTAATACAGAAACAAGAGATAGATTCGCATATATTATTTCATTTAATTACTATCTACCAAAGCGCTACCAACTCTTCCTCGTGTTTTTGCGCAGCGAATAGTTTCGAGGCTGGTGTTACACCCCTTGTCTTGAGTTACCTTCGCGTCCAGAGTTAACCCCGTTTACCTTACACACTGCCTGATCCTCGATACGCTAACTAGCTAGCGAGAGAACTCTCGTCTATTGGGCGTTATTTGCTGCGCTCTTCGATGCCTGACCGAGGCTGTACGTCTTTCTAATCTTCATGGTTCCGAGGTGCAAGTTTTAAATAATATGGCTCGTGCAGATTCAGTCATTTAAAGCTCGCTCCAGCTCACCAAAAATGCCCTGCATTCGACTATTAGTAATGATTTTGGAAAAATAATACAGGTTTCTGGAAGAATGTGGTAGCTACTTGGTTAACCTTCAGTTGGCTTGTTGCAAGTATATAGCCAATGAAACTCTTTCTACTGTTGGCAAGGTCTGTACTAAGCTGGAAGGTGAGCAACATTCTAATTATGTGGTGTTCTTAATTTTGTATACCTTTTTATAGCATTGGACTTACAATCCTGTTTACAGCTAACTACCGCCCTAAATCATATTGGTTTATTTCCTAATCTTCGAAGGCTTAACCTTTATAGCTGTACAATATCACCCAATCTTCTTGACATTATTGGAAGGTACGTATGTTAGTATCATAGAAAGTTATTGGTCAATACGTTGTGTTTTATGCAGGTAGTGTATGTGCATAAGTTGCTAATTACGCTAAAGTATAGCAAGACACTCTTTCCATGTGCTCCCATGAATTACCAAATTTAAAGTTGTGCACCAGTGGCCTGAATTACACTATAAATAGTTGACAATGATTAAATTTGCTATACAAGGTTGTCCCATGCACTAGAGAATAACCATACTGAGGTCTGATTACAGTACTTGGTCTGAGTGTGTTTGTCCGTTCAGAGTTATTCTTGCTGTACAAGCTACGAGACAGATACACATGCCTTCAGAACTACACGATTTCCTCAAACGGCTGCATTTGCCATGAAACGTGAAAACAAGCGAGAAAAAGTCAATCTGCATACCTCTGGCTTACCTCCACCTGATCCGCCTGCTGTGTTTACCTTTGGAGGCACAAGAAGTCACTCCCACATGCTATCTACTTGGGTGAAAGATGACGACACCACGTAGGCTTGTATTAGCCATTGGCAGCGCAGCTGTGGCAGAGACTCTGGAATGGCCGTCTGAATGCGTGAGAAAACGCAACCATTTCTTTGTCAAAGCACGACTAGATGGCCATTCCGCGGAGTCTGCCTCAGAGAGTCTGGCTAGCGACACTACTTGCAAGTCCTTCGCCGACTTGCTGTAGATGTTGTACGTGATCTTGTCATTAACCCTAGGCGCTCATGCGCAGCGAGGGTTACAGTAGTTGTCATGTGTCTGTCTGTCTGTCTGTCTGTCCTATCTCACTTCACGAGCAATCAATCACTCCCCCAAAATATGAGGTTTTTTTCTGTTGCGTTCGGGAGTTACGATGTGACGCGAGCTTTTCAGCCATCTCACTTTGAGTTACGGCATGCAACACGAGCGAAAAAGAATTCGAACAGGCTTACCTCAAGCGGGTCCGCTTGCTCGGTGTATCTTGAAGGGACAAAAAGTCACAGCGAAGGGCGTCTATCGACTTCCGCATATTATCTACTGCTGTAGCTAGCCCGTGTCAGACTCTCCACAAGCTATACTAGCGTTGAGACAACGAGTACATGCGTACTAATAGCCCAGCCCATCAATTAGCGGTAACACACATGCGCAGTTCGCCGATGGTTGCACTTCAGGAGATGAGTCACCAGTTCAGAGAGAGGGACACTGGTGATCTGGACAGACCTCCCCAGACCTGAGACCAGAGGTGACGAGGGCTGGGGTTGGAGTTCTCGCCGTGAGGGTGCAGGCAAGGTTTGTGACTGCTTTGTTTGAGTCCCCAGATTTGATCGCAGTTGAGTCCCACGCGAGAGAGGTTGCGAGTGAGTCTGCGAGGATCTGGAGGACGGGTTTGCTGAGGATGGTTTTGAGGGTGACTGCTGAACCTTTTTTGCCGCAGTTTGTGGAACCTGTGACTGTACGCGAGGAGGTAATGGAGCTGGGGAGTGTGAAGACGGTGCCAATTGTGAGGCCGGTGAGGGTGTGAGGGAGCTACGAGAGGCAAGAGGTGGAGCCAAAAGACTTGTGGGGATGGTGATCTTGAGCGGGGAGGGGGAGGAGGGGAAGGGAGGGAGCCTCACTTCGCTCTGGTGTCCTCCTCTCGTCTCTGGCCACACCTCTTGGTCTGGGCGGGAACCTCCCTCCCTCCCCGGCTACCGGGGTTCTGGGCGGAGCTTTACCAGCTAGCTCCTCCATTTTGGGCGGGGCTCCATCGCCAGGTCCCCTCCCTTTTCTCTGCCTCTCGCGACTCCCACAGAGGAAATCCCACACGTGTTCCTCTTCCTCCTCTTCCCCTCCCACTGTCACAGTCTCACACTCGACAACCACGCCAGAGGTCGAGAGGTCATCGCCATTGGTAACGGCACAGGGGGTGCGGTCATCGCGGAAGAGGGGGGCGAGGTCTTCGTCGGGAGGGGAGGTGATTGTGAGAGTGTAGGTGGTTAGTTTACGAGGGTTCCTCGTACTCCAGAACTCCATTCTAGCCCTGGAACCAGGCAAACACACACGTAAAGAGGGAAAGATTTATGATGAGGTAATGAACTAAAGGTTCCTCGTACTCCAGAACTCCATTCTAGCCCTGGAACCAGGCAAACACACACGTAAAGAGGGAAAGATTTATGATGAGGTAATGAACTAAAGGTTCCTCGTACTCCAGAACTCCATTCTAGCCCTGGAACCAGGCAAACACACACGTAAAGAGGGAAAGATTTATGATGAGGTAATGAACTAAAGGTTCCTCGTACTCCAGAACTCCATTCTAAGCGCAGCTAGAAAAGCCAATGCTAAATGCAACTGAAGGTAATGAAACAACCGTAAGTGAATTAAGCCAGGGCACAGAGATATCTTCACCAGTAGACTGATTGAGGTAATGACAGCCATTACAACGTGTTTTACCTAGCCGGCTGGTCGAGACTCAGACTGCCAGAACTAAAAACCTACCCACCGGCGAAATGAATGCGGGTAAGATGAGAGAATCGGAATAGGAGCCGTTAGGCAATACGAACACCTAGACACGTAAAACTAAGAAAGGGAGAGAGTTGCGAAGCCTCATATGTATGAGCATCTCTATCTAGAACTTGCCAAAACTTATAGATGTCCCTTGGTTAACCAGTCCGCAACCACCACCCCACCCCACTCCGCTGGTAACAATAGCGACGCGCAGAAAGGGAGAGCGCTAAAAGTACATCATTTCTGACAATTAGTTTAACTGATGAGCCTCGTGAGAAGGTATCCGAAAGAGCAAAACACTAACAAAGCGACGTAATTCACGACGCGCTCGATCAATTTCCACCAACTCATGACATTAATTATGATGAGGTATAAATTAGTAATTGCTCCACAACTAGTGCTCCCACTCTATTCCCTGTTCCATATTCGCAGAACCTATGCCTCTAGCATCAAATCTAATTTTTTTCATCGAACTCACTTCGCCCGTACCTACAACTTGCTATCCTAGTTATGGAATAGTCACAATGGATTCTATACAACAATTTTATCATGTTAGCAACCGAAATTTCCTCTCATCCTCAACAAATCACGGAGCAACTAATTGCCAGATTATTATTGGCAGGAAAGGTAGTCAGTCAACAAAATGTAGACAGAACAAACCCTCGTAGGATACACAAATATTTTTTCTTTTTGAGAAGAGGAACACGACGGGTAACGAGTGTCTCTAGCATTGTTAATAAAAAAAAGAAAGTTGTATAATTATGTTTAAGGACCGACGGTAC